GGCTATAGTAGACATGATGTGAGTGTAGGAGACATGATGTAGTGTCAGTTTGGCTATGAGAGACATTATGTGGTGTCAGTTTGGCTATGAGAGACATGATGCAGTGCGAGTTTGGCTATGAGAGACATTATGTGGTGTTTTTTTGGCTATGAGAGACATGATGTAGTGTGAGTTTGGCTATGAGAGACATTATGTGGTGTCTGTTTGGCTATGAGAGACATGATGTGGTGTCAGTTTGGCTATGAGAGACATGATGTAGTGTCAGTTTGGCTATGAGAGACATTATGTGGTGTCAGTTTGGCTATGAGAGATAGATGTAAATGTGAGTGTAGGAAACTTTCTGTGGTGTCAGTTTAGCTTTCCATCTATATAGGTTATGGTGTCCTTTTCATGTCCAGTTTTTACGTGCATGTCTGAGATATAATTAGTACCTCCAGACATGTCTAGGGCTGTAAGGAACCAAATACTGAAGACCTAAAATGACCACAAAACCCTGGAATTATATTGTCTTCACTCAAATTCTCAAAGTATAGTTAGCCTCGCAGCATGGGGTCAGGATTTTTCTGAACTTCTTTTGTTGGCTTTCTTCTTCCCTTTGTATGAGAATTACAGAATTTCTGATAACATATTCCATATATTTGCATGATATGGAAATGTCATTCTGGATTGAAGGAAACTATCCATCACGCCCCAGATCTGCCTTGAAAGTTTTCTAGTTCATCAAACACGCCAGATTTACATAAATGACCCTAGACACATCCCATGTAAATTGTTCCCAAATGCAATTTATGACAAAGATGGACATGAATTCATATAAGTATGCTCAAAAGTGAACATAGGATTAAGAACCATCTTCCTTTGAATATAACATCTGACTACGATCTACTAAGGTAGTCCTTTAAAGTCTTATTGTGGTGTGACTTTTAGATTTTTATTTAGTGTTATTCCAGTAAAACTGATTGACTTTTATTGTTTTTGTTATGTATAGCTAGTCTGTTCTAATTTTCTGTAATTGGTCAAAAATTTTGCCTTTACTGTAAACATACATATTTCAGTGGCTGAATAAGTAAAGCACTTTTCACGCTCAAATTATTGTGATTTAGTAGTGCTCATTGCAGTTTCTCTAGGTCATTTATAATGAGCAAAATTAGCATATTTCAAACTCCTGACGAATTTAGGTGGGAAGGAGGCATCATTGCTTGAATTAATTAAAAAAAAAATGCGGATTTAAACTTCATTTTTTCTTTTTAAAAAATCATGGCTGACATCTTGGTGTATTTTGCTTTGTAACATTTCTGGTATGCCATCAAATTACCTTATGGTAAGAATAAAAGGCAAAAAATGCCTCCTTGTACTGATGTCTAATGAATCACACCTGTGTTGTTTTTTCTGTAAGAAACAGGTCAACCAATAGAATTACTCTTGATGTGAACACTATCAAATGATGTTCTGGAGTCTAGATATCAAATGCTATTATATTGGTTCTCCTGCATGTACAGTTTCAACTGTGTGTTTTTGGGAAAGGATTCAAACAATACACAGGTTTTTTGTTTTCTTTTGCGAAATTTCTCTTCCTGAGAAATTTATTTTCAATGGGCTCAATCTCATGTATTTTGAAGAAGAAAAATCACTCTTTCATTGACATTTGTGTGAATAAATATAGCTTGATCAATTCACTTAAAATGATTTCGACAGACTTATAAATTAATGGATTAAGAGTACTCAAGAAATTATCAAAATTAACGACCTGATAGAAATGACTGTTTATAGAGTTGTCATGAGTGGGTTTGTTTTCTTGATATAATATGTGGATAAAATATTTCTCTACCTATTTTTGTATTCTAACCCTGGATGCATTTTCATTTCTACAAGTCCTGCATATTTTTATAAAAGGGGGTGTACTGTTTGCCAACAAGGAATTCCCAATATTCTGAAACATTTTTAGGAGATTCATTTCCTTAGAGTTTTAACAGTAAGATATTTCAACATCACAATTGTTTATCTCTTTTTGACTTGATAGATTTGGTGAGTTTCAGATATTCCAGAAAAGATCTAGAACACAGAAGAAATGTGAAATTTTATGGCCACAGTTTCAATTCCAGTTTTATGTCTCTTTTCACTCAGGTCAAAATATTCTGAGAGATTCAGAAGTGTAGTTGTCCCTTCTGTCGGTTTATTTATGTTCTTAGCCTACATAATTGATCTGTTACTATCTATTGTCATGCTACACTGTAAGTTATGAGGTTCCAACTAAGACTGTTCGTTTTTTGTACCAATTTGCAAATCTAAGATGGCCCTCCAATCTTAAAGCACAGCGTGTCAGTGGTTTTGTAGAAGGCCACTTACACCAGGAAATCAGATTACTTTTCAATAACTTTCAGGTAACTTTTTTGGTTTTTTGTTGTAGTTAAATAAAGAATGTAACGTTAGAGTTAACCTTTCCGTATACGAAGTTAATCTTTGCCGAAGCTATAACCTTGCTTCTTGAGACCAGGTGGATTTTTATTTCATCTAATTATCCACAGACTTATCATTACATACACTAAGGAGGTGGTGTACCACCTGCATAACAGACATCCATTGCGCTGTGAATGTGTGTAATCAGCCCTCTGTCTGACCTATCAGTGTAGACTGTTGCTATTACTTATCACCCAAGTACACCGGCCATCTCTATATACCTAACATTGAGGAGGCCAAGGCAACCACCTCTATATACCTAACATTGAGGAGGCTAAGGCAATCACGGGGATAACCTTCAAACAGTTTGTGATTGATTGTTTGACCTTCTAACAGACAGTAGATTGAGGATGGCATCATTTGAATATGAGGTTTTATCATGATAGCACATGAATCAAACACTGGTCTTGGTTTCATCAATAAAGGCATGTGATGATTAAGTTAAGATAATGACACATGGTGGCATCAGCTAGCCCAGAAATTCTGACTTTAATGTAATAAATTTCAACACTTAGTAATTACAATCAATCACATAGCACATGCTATATTTTGTTTCCAATATCTTAAATGAAATGAACACAAGAAAGTTTGTTTTTTATTACTTTGAGTAATATGACGTTATTAAGGCCTATCTCGTCACCACTGGTAGCCATCGTGATTAGAATTGTCAAAAATTTGATAAATCATCGTTTAGTTGAAATCTTTCTGAAATTAGGTTTTGCCTGTTAAGTTGTGTGTGCTATCAGCTGCCCCTATGTCATTAAGTTTAGCTTTATTCTGGAGTAATCAGAAATATCTGCCTTCCATCAATTAGAACCACTCACCAAATCTTTAACAGATTCACAATCACTTAATCAACAGTGTCGGTGGCCACTGACAACTTCCTTTCTGTGGAACAAACCTCAGCTAACCACATTTTTTCTACTGAATTTCTCACCGTGGCGAAATTTCACAATTTCACATTGTGATGACATGGTTTTATCAACAATTTTTGACAGTTAAAATTATCAGTGTGTGGTTTATTATATACTTTTTACCAATAAAGATTTTAACCTGATTTTTATCACAAGCTTATATAAATATTTCATATGAAATATTACAAGCATTCGATGGGTTTTATCAACAATTACCTAAGTGACAGTGTTGTATTTAACTGTTATGCATTAACAAAATATTGGATTATAATTGTGTCAACTAACCTTTGATAAATTGCTAAGCATGAAAAGATTAATTCACTCGTGCTAGAAAAGCTGAAAAGACAAGCCTGATAACCATACAACACAGTACATACAACACATTCATTCTATATTTAGAAATAGCCCTGGAATCTGCCCTTTCCCCTAGAATATTTAATTTTCAAAAACAAAAATATACATATAGACCTGCAATAGAGGCAGCAGAGGTCTCTACCTATAAACTACATATGCTCCGGGATTGAAGAGGAATTAATATCAATGTGCAAATGCATATGGTTTTGAATGCAGTTGATCCCTTCCCCAGGGGACATAGACCCTGGGTCATTCCAAACAAATGTTTGAGATCCACTACTTACAGCATAAACAACTTAATCTGGACACAAGACAATGGATATTTTAGAATTACCCTTTCAGGATTTACCCTTGGCCTAGAAATTTAGTCCCTGGGCCATAACATTTAGGATCTATATGTATGACAATGATGTGTCCAGGGGTCTGACTTATGCTCCCTAGGGGATTACTGGTACAACAAATAATGAAAATGGTACTATGGTCATATACAGTTGCTGGGCATCAGACAAGGGGTTACCCCAGTACTATGGTCATATACAGTTGCTGGGCATCAGACAAGGGGTAACCCCAATACTATGGGCATATACAGTTGCTGGGCATCAGACAAGGGGTGACCAAAATACTATGGTCATATACAGTTGCTGGGCATCAGACAAGGGGTTACCCCAATACTATGGTCATATACAGTTGCTGGGCATCAGACAAGGGGTTACCCCAATACTATGGTCATATACAGTTGCTGGGCATCAGACAAGGGTTGACCCCAATACTGTAGTGATATACAGTTGCTAGGCATCAGACAAGGGTTGACCCCAATACTGTAGTGATATACAGTTGCTGGGCATCAGACAAGGGGTGGCCCCAATACTATGGTCATATACAGTTTATGGGCATCAGACAAGGGGTTACCCCAGTACTATGGTCACATACAGTTGCTGGGCATCAGACAAGGGGTTACCTCAATACTATGGGCATATACAGTTGCTGGGCATCAGACAAGGTGTTACCCCAATACTATGGTCATATACAGTTGCTGGGCATCAGACAAGGGTTGACCCCAATACTGTAGTCATATACAGGCGCCGGGCATCAGACAAGGGGTGGCCCCAATACTATGGTCATATGCAGTTGCTGGGCATCAGACAAGGGGAGTAACTGTGTATGCTGCAATGGACTTGGTCGGCTTGACTCTGAAGATCTGATTTAATCCAAAATTGTGTTTAATTATGTGCAAACATATCTTAGTACTATAATATACATTTGATAACTTTGCAGGCCTATAAGGAAAAGTTATATGGGAAGAAGTATGTCTGGTTCATCATTGGCTGGTATCCAGACAACTGGTACAAGAAGTATGATCCCAAGGTCAATTGTACTGCTGACCAACTCAAGGAGGCCCTGGAGGGCCACTTTGCCACTGAGGCTGTAGTCCTACACCAGGAAAATACTGCTACACTCTCACATATGGTAATATAGTGTAGACATTCAGAAATGTCAATTTATACATTGTGTCAAAATTTTTTTATGAAAATATGATGCTTTACTTTACATGTCCAGGTATGACTGTACCATACTGTACTACTGGGTTATTGATGCAGGTGTGTCAACACATTTTCATTCAAGTTCAGCTAAATATTTTCAGTTTCAGAACAAAATGTACACCAAAACCAAAAATGGTGATACATGTCTGTGGTATAAAGATCACCTTATCGTCAACACTGTTATGTTAAAGTGTGGAGACAAAGCATTTATTACATTGTAAATCTGAGCACTGTTTGACATTTAGCATTTTACAGTTTTGTATCTAAGACAACATTACATTGCATGTTAAGATAAAACCTGGTAACAACATGAACACTAGATACCCATTAAATATACCCAATTTATAACAAGTCGAAGTCATGTGATTTTATGATTTTTTATCTATTTAGAAACATTTTCATCATGTTGGTTATATATATTGAAAAGATGATTATATATCACAACCTGTTAGAAAATTAATGTGACATTTTGATAACTATACTGTTTCCTTCATCAGAAGAGTGTGATTGTCTGAAATGTAACAAATATTTTCTGTGATATAAGAAGAATTATTCAACGAATTTGATTTACTATTAATGCTCTGCTTCAATGTAACATGACAATTTGTAAAGTGGTATGACACTCCCTACCCATGATGATTTGTGTTTCTGAAGAAGCTGGATGAAACACTTTAACATCATTGCTCTGGATGGCATGTAAAACACCTCTAGTATGTTGTTTGATGAATTAGCAACCATCAGATACAAGGAGTCCCAGCTTCAAAATGAACCTGGCTGTTCACAGGTGATAAACCCAAAAAACAAACTTGTAAAAGTGAGAGATATGGAATACTGAGAATAAGACAGTTGTTACTGCTGACTTTTGAGATATCAATCTTGTTATTGTAGACTTCTCAGGAGTTTAAAGACAGACTTGACTTGAATCTTAAGGAACGAAACTTCACAGATATGTCCCAGGTGGATGGCTACCCAGAGGCACCCTTTGCCTATGATGCTGTTTGGGCTCTTGCACTTGCCCTCAACAGAACCAGCATGAAGTAAGTCTTAGAGAAAGTTGATGCTTAAACATTCAGTAGTCATTTTGTGATAAGCTCACTAATCTACAGTGGTTTTCTGTAATCTACCACTATGGCTTTATTCTGTTGTTAGTTGACTCCTGGATTTATGTTTCTGAAGGTGAAGTTTATTTTCCTCATAAATGACCTTGACCTATTTTGATTGTTACATGGATAATATCACTTACAAAAAAAATTACAAAGTACGGATATTTGGCCAGTATGTACCGGGCTTTAACATTTGCTTTTAAAAATGACCTTCATGTGTTTTCAAGGTTACAGGAGTCAAATATTGAAATTATTTAGGAATCTTCTTCTCAAGTTTGATGAGCCCAGAGTCCAGATATTATGCCAGTTAGTACTAGAATAGAGTGCAGTAACATATCCTTGTATCAATGATCTGCAGCCTATTTGAAACATCACAAGGTTCAAATCTGTTAAAAACATCTTAAAATCATTGTAATCTTCAGAAGACTCAAGTTACTTATAATTTGCACACAGATACCTTGGATGGAGCACTACATATTTTCAATAAATAAGTTTTAACAGGGTTTATAAAACACAAAATGGTTATTTTGGCATTCTTTTCTTTACCATCCTGTGGGCCTCTTGTTCATCTTACTGAACCTAGAATGAAAATAAATCTCATATGAATGAAAGCTCATGCCAGATCCTCTATGTATTGATAAAATCCTGTTTGAAATATCACCACAAATTTTATCCTGCTCTTATTGCAGGTTGAGTAAATACAATAAGAAATTGGAGGATTTTAACTACTACAGTGAAGACATTCGTCGTGAAATCTACTCGGCCATGAATGACACCAGCTTTCTGGGTGTATCTGTAAGTAGCCAACTAAAGGCCCTAATTCTGGTAGTCTTGTTTAAAACGCTTGAAACCTACATTTGTCAGTAAAGTGCTATTTACTCATTGAACTCTAAAGATTTTGTAGAAGCAGGCATTGAATTTCTGTAAAACAAGGTCATGAAGCATGCATGAGGTTCTGCGATGTAAAATAGAGTGTCCTATGTAATTTCTTTACCGAGTTGTCAGGGTGTTTTTTTTTTTTTTTTTTCAATCACACTCCATTTCAAATATAAATTCAAAGTATTGATTCATGTTTGCATTTATTTTCAGGGAAATGTGGCATTTTCCTCGGAGGGTGACAGGATAGCCTGGACCCAGATAGAACAGATGTCTAGTAAGGCCTGACATATTCAATCCATCACTCGAAAACATGTCCCAGTTTTATCTTTAAAGTTCATCTTATAGCCTTCGTGTTGATCTTGCCAAATCTTCCATTATGCAACTTAAGTTTTCTCAGTGAGGTCAATTTCAACTTTAAACAGAACTTCCAGTCCCATTTTCCCTACATGTGTATGGGATATTTTTTTAGATCGAAATGTGAAATATCTGCATGTCACAGTTACCTGTTTTAAAGAAGAAAAAAAAAAACTCGCCCAATTGGGATCTTATGCTTGGCTATATACAGAGTTATGGTCCTTTTTCCACTGTACGTAGCTTTCTCTGCAGTATATAACTGTATATACCTCTCCCCAGTGTAAAAATTGATTATCAAAGCTCAGGGAAGACTTATTTGTGAACCAAATGTAGCTTACAATTACATATTCTGCAAAAATGAAGAAGGGAGCTTATTTGAAAATACAGTAACTGTATCTTGAAAATTATTTATAACTATTAAGTATTAAGGTCTTGTGCTATGCTTGATGCAGAACTATGGTCATTTGTTTGTTTAGAAAAGAAAATAGAAAGATGAAGTTCTACCCAGCTGAACGGTTTATTACAGCTAGTATTTAGCAGGGTGATAATCAAAAATCAAAGTTTAATGTGTGCATTGATCAATGTCTACAATGATTGTAGGTGTTGCTACTTCATGGCTACCAAAACAAAATGTGTTATATCTTCTGTAGATGGGACTTACCAGAAGCTGGGTTTCTATGACTACAACACAGATAACCTGACCTGGATTAAGAAAGAGAAGTGGATAGGTAAGGCCGTTAAGATAAATGGCTAAACCCCTTATGGCTGACAGTGAAATTCTCAATATAGTTAAACACTTTTGTGACCAGGAAAGAAAATAATTGACATATACAGTTAAACATCCATGAATTGAACTTTGTTTTTTAGAATTTCTCAATGTATTAAAGGTTTTGTCCAGTCCCGAATTTTACCCTTTTATGAATCAAGTTTTATAAATAAAACTTTTCAATGTATCAAATTCTTTTCACAGACCATAAGTTATCATAACACTGTCATTGACACCTCATGAATCAAACAAAATATTTACTTGTACTGTGCAGGTATTTTTGCCTTGTGGCAAAATTTCAAACATTTCAATGAAGATGCTACCTGTCAATTGGATTACAATGGCCTGCTATCATTAGCTCTGTGTTACTAGGTTGATTAATGACTGGACACAGATTAAAGTTGAATTGCTTACATACAAGCCACAATATTTAATCAAAGATGATGGGACTTTGTGTGATGTTCACTACTGCCATTGTGGTAATGTCATATAGATAGTTGATAGATAGTTTTTATAATATCTATTTCTGAAAAGTTCGTTGTGTAAAGGTATGGATAAAATGTGATTGTGACATTGCTTTCATTCTCTAGTCATTTTGTGTACTTGACATTGTACTCAATGTTATCTTCTTGTAATATTTTCAAAGTTTTTACAGGGGGTAAGGTACCGCTAGACCATACACTCATCAAATCAGCACCAAGAGTTGTCTCCCATGAGCTGTTCTCAATGTTTTCTTGTTGTAATATTTTCAAAGTTTTTACAGGGGGTAAGGTACCACCAGACCATACACTCATCAAATCAGCACCAAGAGTTGCCTCCCATGAGCTGTTCTCAATGTTTTCTTGTTGTAATATTTTCAAAGTTTTTACGGGGGTAAGGTACCACCAGACCATACACTCATCAAATCAGCACCAAGAGTTGCCTCCCATGAGCTGTTCTCAATGTTTTCTTCTTGTAATATTTCAAAGTATTTACAGGGGGTAAGGTACCACCAGACCATACACTCATCAAATCAGCACCAAGAGTTGTCTCCCATGGGCTGTTCTTTGCTATGTGTTTCTTCGCTGCCTTTGGAATTGCCTTTGGCATATTCTGTATAATGTTTAACTTCCTGAACAGACAACGCAGGTAGGTAATTTTTTTCTATGAAAGGAAAATTTTTCATTATATCTATAGTTAAACCTCTTTATTTTGAACCTGTATAACTGAAAAGCCACATTTGATTGGAAGCATTTCGACAGTCCCTGTTAACTTTACAGAAAACCATCATTTAAATTGAATATCTCCTTGGTTCTATCAAAGTTTTCTTGTTTTCTGGTTGAGTTCGAGATAACGAGCTTTGACTGTATCTGATAATGATTTCTGTTTCTTCAGTTAGAAATATTATGTCCACATGCTTAGTAAAGTCCATGATTACCTTGTATTTGTTTTAATCCTCATTTGAGTTGGCTGGATATTTTACATATGAATTAGAATGTTTTTAACAATAGAATACAGTAGATAATGATATATTTTATGTTTGCAAGGCTTTTGTGTTCAATATAACAAATCATTGGAAATAATACTTGTAATTACTAAAAATAATTTGATATGGAAATAAACATTTTCTCTTGTGTTTGATATTTTACAGGTGCATTGCCTACTCCCAGCCAAGTGTTAACAATGTGACAGTGTTTGGATGTATTCTCTGTCTGATGTGTATTCTGCTGTTGGGGTTAGACAATCAGTTCATCTCCCCAGAACTATACCCCCTCATATGTCAGGTCAGTATGTAACACCTCACAGTCCATCTCCCCGGATCTCCCCTCCTCTTATGTCAGGTCACTATATAACACCTCACAGTCCATCTCCCCAGGTCTCTCCCCATCATATGTCAGGTCAGTATATAACACCTCACAGTACATCTCCCCAGAACTATGCCCCCTCATATGTCAGGTCAGTATATAACACCTCACAGTCCATCTTCCCGGGTCTCTCTCCCTCATATGTCAGGTCAGTATATAACACCTCACAGTCCATCTCCCCAGATCTCTCCCCCTCATATGTCATGTCAGTATATAACACCTCACAGTCCATCTCCCCGGGTCTCTCTCCCTCATATGTCAGGTCAGTATATAACCCCTCACAGTCCATCTCCCCAGATCTCTCCCCCTCATATGTCAGGTCAGTATATAACACCTCACAGTCCATCTCCCCGGGTCTCTCTCCCTCATATGTCAGGTCAGTATATAACCCCTCACAGTCCATCTCCCCAGATCTCTCCCCCTCATATGTCAGGCCAGTATATAACACCTCACAGTCCATCTCCCCGGGTCTCTCCCTCATATGTCAGGTCAGTATATAACACCTCACAGTCCATCGCCCCAGGTCTCTCCCCCTCATATGTCAGGTCAGTATATAACCCCTCACAGTTCATCTCCCAAGGTCTCTCCCCCTCATATGTCTGGTCAGTGTATAACACCTCACAGTTCATCTCCGCAGGTCTCTGCCCTTCATATGTCAGCTCAGTGTATAACACCTAATAGTCCATATCCCCAGGTCTCTCCCCCTCATATGTCAGGTCAGTATATTACACCTCACAGTTCATCTCCTCGGTCTCTGCCCCCTCATATGTCTGGTCAGTGTATAACACCTCACAGTTCATCTCCACAGGTCTCTCCCCCTCAGATGTCAGTGTAATAGATATGATTAGTTACTATTGTACAGTCATGTCTTGGAAATCATATTTTAGTAAAAAATATGATAACTCAAACTTGAGTAAAAATATATTGTCTATAGTACCATATATATATTCTATCTGTTTCAGTTAAGAGCTTGGATGCTCTCCCTTGGTTTTACATTTGCATATGGTGGCATGTTTTCAAAAATCTGGACAGTCCACAGATTGACAACTGCCAACAAAAAGGACCGAAAGGTAACTCTAACCTGCTTCCCCAGCCACCTGTCTGTAAAGGTTTCTGCTTTTGTGTCCATCACTTTATATTTGTGAGAATTAAGTATAGAATATAATGTTGTGTTCAATTTTATACCATGTACAATGATTTAACATATTTATATAAAGGCCCCCTGTCCGTAAAGGTCAAAGGATAAGGGTACCAATGTGTCACCATTTATACAGGGGGTATTAAACCTCAATGTTAAGGCCACCTGTCTGTAAAGGTCAAAAGTCAAGGGTCCCAATGTGTTACCATTTTTATTAAATGGGTATTAACCTCTATGTCAAGGCCACCTGTCTGTAAAGGTCAAAGGTTAAGGGTCCCAATATGTTACCATTTCTATTAAGTGGGTATTGAACTCTATGTTAAGGCCACCTGTCTGTAAAGGTCAGAGGTTTAGGGTACCAATGTGTTACCATTTTTACAGTGGGTAATTAAACCTCTTTATAGAGGCCTTGAGAGACAAGTTTGACTTTATTATACATTATTGTAGCAGTCATCTATCATTACACAGACCATAATTTTATGTTTTTTGAAAAAAACATTGGAAGTTGGATGACTTTCACCAGCTATACTGACCAATAAATGAAAGCATTTCTAAGAAATGATACTGACTGACCTGAAAGCAATAACAGTAATTCTGACAATGATATTTCTAATTAATAGGTTGTGAGGCGGTGTGAATTGTTCACTGTACTGAGTGTGATATTGACAATTGACATAGCAGTGTTGACCACCTGGCAAGTACTGGACCCTCTATACCGGGAGGTGGAAATATTTGAGAAAGAAGATCCTGTAGACACAGATGAGGACATCAAACTTCAACCAGAATTAGAGCATTGTACATCCAAAAATATCTCCATCTGGCTAGGTAGGGCATGGAAACCAGACTACAACCAGAATTAGAGCATTGTACATCCAAAAATATCTCCATCTGGCTAGGTAGGGCATGAAGACCAGACTACAACCAGAATTAGAGCATTGTACAACCAAACGTATCTCCATCTGGCTAGGTAGGGCATGGAAACCAGACTACAACCAGAATTAGAGCATTGTACAACCAAACATAACTCCATCTGGCTAGGTAGGGCATGAAGACCAGACTACAACCAGAATTAGAGCATTGTACAACCAAACATAACTCCATCTGGCTAGGTAGGGCATGGAGACCAGACTACAACCAGAATTAGAGCATTGTACAACCAAACATATCTCCATCTGGCTAGGTAGGGCATGAAGACCAGACTACAACCAGAATTAGAGCATTGTACAACCAAACGTATCTCCATCTGGCTAGGTAGGGCATGGAAACCAGACTACAACAAGAATTAGAGCATTGTACAACCAAACGTATCTCCATCTGGCTAGGTAGGGCATGGAAACCAGACTACAACCAGAATTAGAGAATTGTACAACCAAACGTATCTCCATCTGGCTAGGTAGGGCATGAAGACCAGACTATAACCAGAATTAGAGCATTGTACAACCAAACGTATCTCCATCTGGCTAGGTAGGGCATGGAAACCAGACTACAACAAGAATTAGAGCATTGTACAACCAAACGTATCTCCATCTGGCTAGGTAGGGCATGGAAACCAGACTACAACCAGAATTAGAGCATTGTACATCCAAAAATATCTCCATCTGGCTAGGTAGGGCATGAAGACCAGACTACAACCAGAATTAGAGCATTGTACAACCAAACGTATCTCCATCTGGCTAGGTAGGGCATGGAAACCAGACTACAACCAGAATTAGAGCATTGTACAACCAAACATAACTCCATCTGGCTAGGTAGGGCATGAAGACCAGACTACAACCAGAATTAGAGCATTGTACAACCAAACATAACTCCATCTGGCTAGGTAGGGCATGGAGACCAGACTACAACCAGAATTAGAGCATTGTACAACCAAACATATCTCCATCTGGCTAGGTAGGGCATGAAGACCAGACTACAACCAGAATTAGAGCATTGTACAACCAAACGTATCTCCATCTGGCTAGGTAGGGCATGGAAACCAGACTACAACCAGAATTAGAGCATTGTACAACCAAACGTATCTCCATCTGGCTAGGTAGGGCATGGAAACCAGACTACAACAAGAATTAGAGCATTGTACAACCAAACGTATCTCCATCTGGCTAGGTAGGGCATGGAAACCAGACTACAACCAGAATTAGAGAATTGTACAACCAAACGTATCTCCATCTGGCTAGGTAGGGCATGAAGACCAGACTATAACCAGAATTAGAGCATTGTACAACCAAACGTATCTCCATCTGGCTAGGTAGGGCATGGAAACCAGACTACAACAAGAATTAGAGCATTGTACAACCAAACGTATCTCCATCTGGCTAGGTAGGGCATGGAAACCAGACTACAACCAGAATTAGAGAATTGTACAACCAAACGTATCTCCATCTGGCTAGGTAGGGCATGAAGACCAGACTATAACCAGAATTAGAGCATTGTACAACCAAACGTATCTCCATCTGGCTAGGTAGGGCATGAAGACCAGACTACAACCAGAATTAGAGCATTGTACATCCAAAAGTATCTCCATCTGGCTAGGTAGGGCATGGAAACCAGACTACAACCAGAATTAGAGCATTGTACAACCAAACGTATCTCCATCTGGCTAGGTAGGGCATGGAAACCAGACTACAACCAGAATTAGAGCATTGTACATCCAAAAGTATCTCCATCTGGCTAGGTAGGGCATGAAGACCAGACTATAACCAGAATTAGAGCATTGTACATCCAAAAGTATCTCCATCTGGCTAGGTAGGGCATGAAGACCAGACTACAACCAGAATTAGAGCATTGTACATCCAAAAGTATCTCCATCTGGCTAGGTAGGGCATGGAAACCAGACTACAACCAGAATTAGAGCATTGTACAACCAAACGTATCTCCATCTGGCTAGGTAGGGCATGGAAACCAGACTACAACCAGAATTAGAGCATTGTACATCCAAAAATATCTCCATCTGGCTAGGTAGGGCATGAAGACCAGACTACAACAAGAATTAGAGCATTGTACAACCAAACGTATCTCCATCTGGCTAGGTAGGGCATGGAAACCAGACTACAACCAGAATTAGAGCATTGTACAACCAAAAGTATCTCCATCTGGCTAGGTAGGGCATGGAAACCAGACTACAACCAGAATTAGAGCATTGTACAACCAAACGTATCTCCATCTGGCTAGGTAGGGCATGGAAACCAGACTACAACCAGAATTAGAGCATTGTACAACCAAAAGTATCTCCATCTGGCTAGGTAGGGCATGGAAACCAGACTACAACCAGAATTAGAGCATTGTACAACCAAAAGTATCTCCATCTGGCTAGGTAGGGCATGGAAACCAGACTACAACAAGAATTAGAGCATTGTACAACCAAAAGTATCTCCATCTGGCTAGGTAGGGCATGAAGACCAGACTACAACCAGAATTAGAGCATTGTACAACCAAACGTATCTCCATCTGGCTAGGTAGGGCATGGAAACCAGACTACAACCAGAATTAGAGCATTGTACAACCAAAAGTATCTCCATCTGGCTAGGTAGGGCATGGAAACCAGACTACAACAAGAATTAGAGCATTGTACAACCAAAAGTATCTCCATCTGGCTAGGTAGGGCATGAAGACCAGACTACAACCAGAATTAGAGCATTGTACAACCAAACATATCTCCATCTGGCTAGGTAGGGCATGGAAACCAGACTACAACCAGAATTAGAGCATTGTACAACCAAAAGTATCTCCATCTGGCTAGGTAGGGCATGGAAACCAGACTACAACAAGAATTAGAGCATTGTACAACCAAAAGTATCTCAATCTGGCTAGGTAGGGCATGAAGACCAGACTACAACCAGAATTAGAGCATTGTACAACCAAAAGTATCTCCATCTGGCTAGGTAGGGCATGAAGACCAGACTACAACCAGAATTAGAGCATTGTACAACCAAAAGTATCTCCATCTGGCTAGGTAGGGCATGAAGACCAGACTACAACCAGAATTAGAGCATTGTACAACCAAAAGTATCTCCATCTGGCTAGGTAGGCCATGGAAACCAGACTACAACCAGAATTAGAGCATCATACATCCAAAAATATCTCCATCTGGCTAGGTAGGGCATGGAAACCAGACTACAACAAGAATTAGAGCATTGTACAACCAAACATAACTCCATCTGGCTAGGTAGGGCATGAAGACCAGACTACAACCAGAATTAGAGCATTGTACATCCAAAAATATCTCCATCTGGCTAGGTAGGGCATGAAGACCAGACTACAACCAGAATTAGAGCATTGTACAACCAAAAATATCTCCATCTGGCTAGGTAGGGCATGAAGACCAGACTACAACCAGAATTAGAGCATTGTACAACCAAACGTATCTCCATCTGGCTAGGTAGGGCATGGAAACCAGACTACAACAAGAATTAGAGCATTGTACAACCAAACATAACTCCATCTGGCTAGGTAGGGCATGGAGACCAGACTACAACCAGAATTAGAACATTGTACAACAAAAATCTGTCTAGGTAAGGCATGGAAACCAGACTACAACCAGAATTAGAGCATTGTACAACCAAAAGTATCTCCATCTGGCTAGGTAGGGCATGGAAACCAGACTACAACCAGAATTAGAGCATTGTACAACCAAACGTATCTCCATCTGGCTAGGTAGGGCATGGAAACCAGACTTCAACCAGAATTAGAGCATTGTACAACCAAAAATATCTCCATCTGGCTAGGTAGGGCATGAAGACCAGACTACAACCAGAATTAGAGCATTGTACAACCAAAAATATCTCCATCTGGCTAGGTAGGGCATGGAAACCAGACTACAACCAGAATTAGAGAATTGTACAACCAAACGTATCTCCATCTGGCTAGGTAGGGCATGGAAACCAGACTACAACCAGAATTAGAGCATTGTACAACCAAACGTATCTCCATCTGGCTAGGTAGGGCATGGAAACCAGACTACAACCAGAATTAGAGCATTGTACAACCAAACGTATCTCCATCTGGCTAGGTAGGGCATGGAAACCAGACTACAACCAGAATTAGAACATTGTACAACAAAAATCTGTCTAGGTAAGGCATGGAAACCAGACTACAACCAGAATTAGAGCATTGTACAACCAAAAGTATCTCCATCTGGCTAGGTAGGGCATGGAAACCAGACTTCAACCAGAATTAGAGCATTGTACAACCAAAAGTATCTCCATCTGGCTAGGTAGGGCATGGAAACCAGACTTCAACCAGAATTAGAGCATTGTACAACCAAAAGTATCTCCATCTGGCTAGGTAGGGCATGGAAACCAGACTACAACAAGAATTAGAGCATTGTACAACCAAACATAACTCCATCTGGCTAGGTAGGGCATGGAGACCAGACTACAACCAGAATTAGAGCATTGTACAACCAAACATAACTCCATCTGGCTAGGTAGGGCATGGAAACCAGACTTCAACCAGAATTAGAGCATTGTACAACCAAAAGTATCTCGATCTGGCTAGGTAGGGCATGGAAACCAGACTACAACCAGAATTAGAGCATTGTACAACCAAACATAACTCCATCTGGCTAGGTAGGGCATGGAAACCAGACTACAACCAGAGCTGAAACAGTGTAAAACAAAAATTATCCCCTGGGTAGTTGCGCAGACAAATTAGAGTTCTGTGTTTTCTATTTTGTATTAGAGAATGGAATTATGTTGGTAAGATATAATCAATGAAATATGAAATTATTGTACGAGAAATAAGTAATCTATTCATACAAGTCAATGAATTTCATCAGTGACCATGTACTGTAGTGGGAGGCTGCTCGAAGCCGAGGAGATCTAAAGACAATCATCAGAGTCACCTACAATGTATAACAATGTTTTATTTTGTCTACAGATATTGTACTTTGTTTTGTTGACAGGAGTAATATATGGCTACAAAGGGATACTATTACTGTTTGGAATATTCCTGGCTTATGAGACGAGGAGTGTCAAACTGAAGCAAGTTAACGATTCGAGATTTGTAGGAATGAGTATTTATAACGTTGTGGTAAGTCAGTCATAGTTCGTTAATGAAATACTCGGGTTTCTTGTTTATTTTCACATCGCAGATCAAAATCAGGACTTGGTCCTGAATTAAAATTTGCAATTGAGATCCTTACTGTATTGAAATGAAAACAAATCTTATTTGAAAATAAGGTGGTTAATTTCACCAATGTATTCTTAAATTTTTATCTTAGACATAACTCTATGCATGTTTAATTCTTTCATGAATGACAAACTAGTTTCTGGTTTAGTTTTAGGTAAAAAACATTTCATGAATTAATTAAAATTTGCAAATGAGATTCTCCCTTTATCGAAGAAAAAAAGGTAGCCCATGAATTCTTATTTCAATAATTTTATAAAAATAAAAATTGTAACTTTTCCAAACTGTGTGTGTGTGATAACATACTAATTAATTATGACTGTTCTAGGTGTTGTGTGTGATAACGTACAAATTGTGACTGTTCCAGGTGTTGTGCGTGATAACATACTAATTGTGACTGTTCCAGGTGTTGTGCGTGATAACATACTAATTGTTACTGTTCCAGGTGTTGTGCGTGATAACATACTAATTGTTACTGTTCCAGGTGTTGTGTGAAATAACATACTAATTGTTACTGTTCCAGGTGTTGTGCGTGATAACATACTAATTGTTACTGTTCCAGGTGTTGTGCGTGATAACATACTAATTGTTACTGTTCCAGGTGTTGTGCGTGATAACATACTAATTGTTACTGTTCCAGGTGTTGTGTGAAATAACATACTAATTGAAACTGTTCCAGGTGTTGTGCGTGATAACATACAAATTGTGACTGTTCCAGGTGTTGTGCGTGATAACATACTAATTGTTACTGTTCCAGGTGTTGTGCGTGATAACATACTAATTGTTACTGTTCCAGGTGTTGTGCGTGATAACATACTAATTGTTACTGTTCCAGGTGTTGTGCGTGATAACATACAAATTGTGACTGTTCCAGGTGTTGTGCGTGATAACATACTAATTGTTACTGTTCCAGGTGTTGTGCGTGATAACATACTAATTGTTACTGTTCCAGGTGTTGTGCGTGATAACATACTAATTGTGACTGTTCCAGGTGTTGTGCGTGATAACATACTAATTGTTACTGTTCCAGGTGTTGTGCGTGATAACAGCTCCCATCACCCTTATCATCAGTAACCAACAAGATGCCAGCTTTGCCTTTGTAGCACTTGCCATTCTTTTATGCAGCTTTCTGTCTATGGGCCTAATATTTGTACCCAAGGTATGTATTCTCTGTAGCCTCCAGTGCCAAGTAAAAAGGAGTGGGACCTTACATTTGTACAAAAGTATGTAGTGTCAGGCCTCCAGTGCTGTGTAGAAAAGTGCTTTGTAGCCAAGGTATCTACTTCATGTAACTGCCAATACTGTTTAGGATAAATGGGATAAGAATTTCATATTTTTCTTCTGCAATAATTAATTATCACAGACTCAAATATAGAGATCTGATGCTGACTTTATCAATCGAAATTTCTGGGAATAAGTATGTTTTGGAAGAGTTATCTCCCTCAATCTTTACAGACTTTTTTACTATGTGTTTTTGTAGAGTTGTAGTTTATGTCGGTAGAGGAAGGAAGTATAGATATTGATGATAGTTTTTACTTACAAATAAATTTTTATAAATTAAATTTTGTTTCAGATAGTTGAAATCAGCCGAAATCCAAAGAAAAATCACCTGGAGGTGCGGGCTATGTCTGAATCTGTAGCCAGTAAGGAAGAAGAGGAGAGACACCAGAGACTGCTCATAGAAAACGAAGGCCTCAAAAGACAGATTTCCGAGGTAAGCGTGACAAAAGATTAACTAAGGTGCATGATATCACAGAATCTCTGAGATAGGGACTACAAAGGCAGAACTCACAGGAAAAGGCTGTAAAATATTCAACTTACAGAATCTCTTAAGTAAAAACTAAAAATATAGATCTTCAGGGCAAGGACTGCGAAAATAACCAAAAAAAAAATAATAATGTTATTCATTTAACACTATATATGCTAATGGAATAATGCAGAAACTGATGGAATAGCAAAATAGCTGATTCTATTTGGCTGGAAATGTTGTCGAACTTTTACCAGAATGTAAACGTCAATTTTGTTGGTAAGGCCAAATAGAGAATACATTTCAGAAAGATAAATATTGATGATGCAGTGCTATAGAGACGTTGAAATTGATTAAGGTCCATATCACAATTTTGCTGACAACTTAGAGAACAAAAAAGTTCTTAAAAGATTTTATTTGAAAAGTGAGTTTTACAAATTAAGTTGAGATTTATCAGAAAACTTGGAGTTCATATCTGAGGTAAAGGTATTTGACAAAAAGAGATCTCTGTGCGAAAGGTATAAGAAAATAGGGATTGTATAATCAGAAGGGGATCTCAAAACGACCCTACGGTCGCTACGTTACAATAAGGACAATTACTTCAAAGGTACATTTTATAAGATTATGAGTTGAAAGAATGTTAGCCAAAAATTAGTAGGGTTTTTGAAAATCTGTCTTTCTGTTACAGATGGAAGATCGAGTTAAAGAACTAAAGGAGAAGCTAGAGCGTAAAACACAGCAGAGGCTCTTGACAAATGGGGAAGGACCAGAAAGGATTAAAATTCCACCGATAAATAAATCGGACCTATCTAAAACGGACATCGACATAGAGAAGTCACCCGATCTACATGATAGCATCGTGTTAGACCATAACAATATTTTCAGTGACACGTCTGTGCCATTCCAACCAAACTCAGACTCAAATTCAAGTGTGCAGAAAAATCTCCACTATTCTTTATCAGATCAAGATCTTGAATTTTTGTGAAACGTTCAGAAATTTTTACACATCCGTCTTTTTTTTTAATTGAAACTCAGCAATATCTCTTTGATACGCCATGCTTAATACGATCTTGTCCTGTAGAAATGAAAACTTACTTTTTGAAGAAAGAATACTGAAAACTGACTGAATTTTTGTAAATATGATACTGCTATTTGTGGAATTATATGCTGAAAATTGTAATCATACCATTATTTTGACTCAAATTAAATTGATACTGTTCTCAAAATTCAAAAGCATATTTATATCAGTGTTGTATTCTGTATCAATTTTAGATCTGTGATGAATAATTGTGAAAATGACGGCTCTCTCAATATCTTTTTTTTCACCGGATTTGAGGAATTGCAAAGTTATAACACATGCAAGCATTTGACCTCTCTTTGTGTGAATTGATGTAGAAAATGTTGTTTGACTACCAAGTATAAGGTTTGATGTATTGAAAAGTGTTTGGGTATGAAATAGTATATAGTTGGATGGCAGGAACTGTGTTTGGGTATGAATTAGTATATAGTTGGATGGCAGGAACTGTGTTTGGGTATGAATTAGTATATAGTTGGATGGCAGGAACATTGTTTGGGTATGAATTAGTATATAGTTGGATGGCAGGAACTGTGTTTGGGTATGAATTGGTATATAGTTGGATGGCAGGAACATTGTTTGGGTATGAATTAGTATATAGTTGGATGGCAGGAACTGTGTTTGGGTATGAATTAGTATATAGTTGGATGGCAGGAACATTGTTTGGGTATGAATTAGTATATAGTTGGATGGCAGGAACATTGTTTGGGTATGAATTAGTATATAGTTGGATGGCAGGAACATTGTGTGGGTATGAATTGGTATATAGTTGGATGGCAGGAACATTGTGTGGGTATGAATTGGTATATAGTTGGATGGCAGGAACATTGTTTGGGTATGAATTGGTATATAGTTGGATGGCAGGAACATTGGGTATGAATTGGTATATAGTTGGATGGCAGGAACATTGTTTGGGTATGAATTGGTATGAACATTGTTTGGGTATGAATTAGTATATAGTTGGATGGCAGGAACATTGTTTGGGTATGAATTAGTATATAGTTGGATGGCAGGAACATTGTGTGGGTATGAATTGGTATATAGTTGGATGGCAGGAACATTGTTTGGGTATGAATTAGTATATAGTTGGATGGCAGGAACTGTGTTTGGGTATGAATTAGTATATAGTTGGATGGCAGGAACTGTGTTTGGGTATGAATTAGTATATAGTTGGATGGCAGGAACTGTGTTTGGGTATGAATTGGTATATAGTTGGATGGCAGGAACATTGTTTGGGTATGAATTAGTATATAGTTGGATGGCAGGAACATTGTTTGGGTATGAATTTGTATATAGTTGGATGGCAGGAACATTGTTTGGGTATGAATTGGTATATAGTTGGATGGCAGGAACATTGTTTGGGTATGAATTGGTATATAGTTGGATGGCAGGAACATTGGCTGGGTATGAATTGGTATATAGTTGGATGGCAGGAACATTGTTTGGGTATGAATTGGTATATAGTTGGATGGCAGGAACATTGTTTGGGTATGAATTGGTATATAGTTGGATGGCAGGAACATTGTTTGGGTATGAATTGGTATATAGTTGGATGGCAGGAACATTGTTTGGGTATGAATTGGTATATAGTTGGATGGCAGGAACTGTGTTTGGGTATGAATTGGTATATAGTTGGATGGCAGGAACATTGTGTGGGTATGAATTGGTATATAGTTGGATGGCAGGAACTGTGTTTGGGTGTGAATTGGTATATAGTTGGATGGCAGGAACTGTGTTTGGGTATGAATTGGTATATAGTTGGATGGCAGGAACATTGGGTATGAATTGGTATATAGTTGGATGGCAGGAACATTGTTTGGGTATGAATTAGTATATAGTTGGATGGCAGGAACATTGTTTGGGTATGAATTAGTATATAGTTGGATGGCAGGAACATTGTTTGGGTATGAATTAGTATATAGTTGGATGGCAGGAACATTGTTTGGGTATGAATTGGTATTAGTATATAGTTGGATGGCAGGAACATTGTTTGGGTATGAATTTGTATATAGTTGGATGGCAGGAACATTGTTTGGGTATGAATTAGTATATAGTTGGATGGCAGGTATATAGTTGGACACTGTGTTTGGGTATGAATTAGTATATAGTTGGATGGCAGGAACATTGTTTGGGTATGAATTAGTATATAGTTGGATGGCAGGAACAGTGTTTGGGTATGAATTAGTATATAGTTGGATGGCAGGAACATATAGTTGGATGGCAGGAACATTGGGGAACATATATATGTTGGTATATAGTTGGATGGCAGGAACATTGTTTGGGTATGAATTTGTATATAGTTGGATGGCAGGAACATTGTTTGGGTATGAATGAATTAGTATATAGTTGGATGGCAGGAACATTGTTTGGGTATGAATTAGTATATAGTTGGATGGCAGGAACATTGTTTGGGTATGAATTGGTATATAGTTGGATGGCAGGAACTGTGTTTGGGTATGAATTGGTATATAGTTGGATGGCAGGAACATTGTTTGGGTATGAATTTGTATATAGTTGGATGGCAGGAACATTGTTTGGGTATGAATTAGTATATAGTTGGATGGCAGGAACATTGTTTGGGTATGAATTAGTATATAGTTGGATGGCAGGAACATTGTTTGGGTATGAATTAGTATATAGTTGGATGGCAGGAACATTGGGTATGAATTGGTATATAGTTGGATGGCAGGAACATTGTTTGGGTATGAATTAGTATATAGTTGGATGGCAGGAACATTGTGTGGGTATGAATTGGTATATAGTTATGGCAGGAACATTGTTTGGGTATGAATTAGTATGAATTGGTATATAGTTGGATGGCAGGAACATTGTTTGGGTATGAATTGGTATATAGTTGGATGGCAGGAACATTGTTTGGGTATGAATTGGTATATAGTTGGATGGCAGGAACATTGTTTGGGTATGAATTGGTATATAGTTGGATGGCAGGAACATTGTTTGGGTTGGTTGGCAGGAACATTGTTTGGGTATGAATTTGTATATAGTTGGATGGCAGGAACATTGTTTGGGTATGAATTAGTATATAGTTGGATGGCATTGTTTGGGTATGAATTAGTATATAGGAACATTGTTTGGGTATGAATTGGTATATAGTTGGATGGCAGGAACATTGTTTGGGTATGATTGGTATTAGTTGGTATATAGTTGGATGGCAGGAACATTGTTTGGGTATGAATTTGTATATAGTTGGATGGCAGGAACATTGTTTGGGTATGAATTAGTATATAGTTGGATGGCAGGAACATTGTTTGGGTATGAATTGGTATATAGTTGGATGGCAGGAACATTGTTTGGGTATGAATTGGTATATAGTTGGATGGCAGGAACATTGTTTGGGTATGAATTAGTATATAGTTGGATGGCAGGAACATTGGGTATGAATTGGTATATAGTTGGATGACAGGAACATTGTTTGGGTATGAATTAGTATATAGTTGGATGGCAGGAACATTGTTTGGGTATGAATTTGTATATAGTTGGATGGCAGGAACATTGTTTGGGTATGAATTAGTATATAGTTGGATGGCAGGAACATTGTGTGGGTATGAATTGGTATATAGTTGGATGGCAGGAACATTGTTTGGGTATGAATTGGTATATAGTTGGATGACAGGAACATTGGGTATGAATTGGTATATAGTTGGATGGCAGGAACATTGTTTGGGTATGAATTGGTATATAGTTGGATGGCAGGAACATTGTTTGGGTATGAATTGGTATATAGTTGGATGGCAGGAACATTGTTTGGGTATGGATATGAAGTCTGATGTACAGGATGGCTGGATGAGATATGAAATTCATTTAAATAAATTGTGTTTACTTTCATTCCAGTTGACTGGATTCAGATTTGTGAAAAAGTAAAATTTATTTAACATGGATATTCTTCTTAGGAACAGCGTAAGTTATTAAGCCTGCAGGGATGAAGACCTACTCTCCAAATTTGAAAGATAGAATTCTGTAAGACCTCTTTAGCCTGTTAATTAGTTGATCTGCAGTGCAAACAGTTTAGTTACAAATGCAATATTTCCTTTAATTTGCAAACATATATTTTTTCATTTCATGTTGATCATTTGAATTGATAAATTACACAAAAAATGAATTTTTGTCCCAAGAATTTAGGTTTTAAGTCAAAGGGAAATTGTCAGTTATGTATTTCATTAACATTATGTTTAACATAAGGAGGCCTAAGTATACCTTTATGCAAGGACTGATACATATATGAAGCAGTGTTATGATCCACTTACTAAGATAGATGGGCTTGTGTTAAGATACCAGTGATTATCAGGACCCGTTGGTAATGACAGTATATTTTATAGCAGAAAAGAAGAGAAACCAACGCCTAAAGCTAGGTTTACATTCACTATATTTTTCTTTCGTTGACTATGCTGGTAGCCATCGTTTTTAGCGATAGGAGTTGCTCCTCTTATCTGCTTTATTTCTTTCAAGAGGGCTGTAGTATCCCACTATCGCTCCTCCTAAAGCCTTGTAAATGACCTAAAACATACACATTTGCTTAAATGACATTGAATCTTTGAGAATTTTCTTCTCTACAAGTAATATGTTGTATAATGAATGAAAATTCAGGCAAGGTGTTTTACTGATTCGAACAGGGTTGTTCACTTATGAGACTCGGGTCAGAGTACACTGTATACGTAAATTTAAGAGTAGAACAAAATCAATTTAAATTTACATAAACGTGTACAGTTGGTATAATTAAAGTCCTCATCAAATGCTAGTGGAGTTTAGTTCAGTTTACTTTGGCACTCACATCAGTATAACGTCACTGAACACGTAACAGAAACGGCCAAATATACTGCTTTATGGGAAGGGGTTTCAAAATTTATATTATATAGGGTTAAAACATGATGACACGGGGGCCAGAGAAATTATCGTTTCGAGTTGACAATATCCGATATCTTTGAAATTAGTCATGCAAATTATATGACTGTATGTAATTTAAAACATAGAGATTCGACAATCAGCTTGCACTCTACACAATCATTGTTTCAAACTTATCAATTAATTTACCGTGTGACATTCATTTTGGCATAATTAAGTATTTTAGAACAGCAATTTCAAAAAATTGAAAAAAATATATATATAATTTGTGTTGCTGCTGACCATCAAATCTGTTTATTTCAAACCATCGATACATGTAGGTAACTAAATATATCTAAATAACAACAAAACAGTTGTTTGGATATATTCGAGTAAAATGGACACAATTTTAGCGAAAAGTGTTTGGCTCTAAAAAGGGCCGTTAATAGGTTTCAAGACTGTCTTCGTCACTCTCATCCCGAAGTTGCCATACAGGTCCTTTCTGATTCCGGAGTTGTCGCCAGCTCTTTCGTGGGCTTAGTCGTAGTACGTGTTCGGGAGACCTTCAACAACAGACATTTGAAGTCTGTAGTTGTAATAAAATGCCTGTAGTCCATCTCTCCTGACATTGAGATAACAGGGAAGCATATCGTCCAGTTTGTAATTCAGTAGAAGGATCTGATCACAAGACGTTTGGGGTGGAAGTTCACTGTCAAGCAGGATGGCACGTTCGTGAAGTGGAGAGTGTCATTTTGTACATGAATGTAGTTCACTGGGTCCTTGTGTAAACACTAGTTACCAGAATGATCTCACTTCGAACTGGTAATGGGACAATGGTCAGAGCACACCGCTGCTATACTTATACGTAAATTTAAGACTAGAACGAAAGCGATTGAAATTCATATCAAAATGTACAGTAGGTATATTTAAGGTTTCCATCAAACTCTAGTCGAGTTTAATGGAGTTTACTATAACACCCAATATATTGGTACAGGTCAGTATGACGTCACTGAACACAATTAGCCATATGCAAAGTGGCTGTTTGTAAACCTGCGAAGTCATCACTCTAATGGCATCAGTATTTACTTTAAAATCATAGATTTTAAAAATTTTTGTGTAGTTTTAATCATTTCGTTTTTTTCTTTTTATTTTAAATCACCATTTTGAGACCTATGATTATGTGAATTAATAGAGCTTAATCTATCTAATTAAAACTAATTATAAGAGTTCATGGACTTATGAATTCATGGATAAAGGGTACCCTCAAAGTCAACGCAAGTAAATTCCCACAAAAATTTATGATTTTATAATGTCTGATTGTCTTAACACTCCAAACTCCCTTTATGACAGAGTTATGAATCATTTCTGATGTACTGAACTCGATGAAATGTCTTGTGTAGAAACCTTCATTAATGTCATGGCTATAGACAAACCAATAAGACGTTACTAATGAGTCTTTAGATGAAAGAATCGTGGATATAGTTACTTATGTAAACTTTAATTTTGGTCAAATTGAACTTAACTCAAGCAGCAGCTTTTATTACAGTCCAGAACCCAATCTACATCTGGATTTCTATTACAAAGGAGAATATTCCACTCTTGTCGATTGTCATAAATATTAATTTCTTTAATGCGTAGAAAACAAGAAATGTAGGATATGTTTAAGTATTATTTCTGACCTATCCCGAAATTTGAATTGCATTTGTACTCCTTGCGATCAAAGTTCGTACCAAGCAGCCAATGGTTGTGTTAACCTATCTCAGCACGACATGTGAGATGTGGTAAAGGTCAAAGTTCACACCCAACAGCCAGTGGTTGTGTTATCCTATCTCAGGACGACATGTGGTAAAGGTCAAAGTTCACACCCAACAGCCAGTGGTTGCATCATCCCATCTCCACACAAGTGGGTATTAACGCATTTAATGACCTATACATCAATTAGTATAATGTTTTAAACATAGACAAAGCATAAGATTTAGTCACTCAATAACGATTCTGTGTCAAACCTCAATCGGAGTATTGCCTAGTCACCGATGTACCATCATCACCATACAATATGTAATCTTGAAAGTATTGGTTAGTGTGCAAATAATGAATGTTTTTGATTTATGCACAAATATCTGCAGACTCCCTTTTTTTTTGCGATGAGAAATGGTCAGTAGGAATCTATATATGGGCGTTGTTATCAATAAATGCTTTAATATGGTCTGGTAGTTGATGGGGAACATAAAAAATATGCTACAAACAGCTGCTAAAATAATTACCATTTATTTACCTATACATTATGTACATTAATACGAGTATCAAATCTGTACATCTTTACATTTGTGTAGTCTACATACTTACTGAACACAAATACCGTAAACCTTGGAATATTGATCACACATTACCACATATTCAACCATTCATACCACCTCAAATCACAATATTCTTTCAATGTTTTCTAGTTAAAAATACTTTTCTTGAAATTGAAGACTTAAAAACACAATTTTTGTTGCTAATTTCATTAGGTATCTGTCATTCAATGCAACTACAACCTTTTGCAGTGGCCTTCTATTTCACTATCTACCATTAAATGTATAATAGTGGTAACTTCTGTAAAAAATGAAGGTCTTACAAACCAAGTTATACCACACCTATAAATGTATGATTATAAGTTTGAAGACAACACTGTCATTAATGTACTGGAGTATCATATTTTTCAGACTCAACACTTCACAGCGGACAGTCTTTGTTTTATAAGATTATACTGTTGATCCTATTTCATGAACTGAGGAGGTCGAACCTTTAAAGTAGACATGTTAAAGGATGAACCTGCAAAGAAAATCCTTCTTTCCATCAAAACAGCTATCGAAGTCATTAACTTTTGCACAGTGGTTTCTAAATCAATTCCACGTTTTGAATTTCATCGCACTTAGAATAGTTTATTATATATGATCACTCACAATACAAACACATCCGGCTTTTCTCAAAAAGAATACCCTTCTAGTTCCTTTGTCCGTTTCTCATACAAAGTAATATCATTTGAAAATCTAAAGATAGGTATACGAGAATCTGATACTGTTTCTTCTCCCCAACCCACACCAAAAAAAAAACAACAAAAAATCAATTAGCATTGCCTTCAGTATCACAGTTTGTGGTGTTACCAAGGTACCTAAAGGTTACTCTGTTTTGATCATTTCCAAGATAAACAACTTCTCAATTTGTGTAATCACCAAGGTTTCCCACCAATTACTCAGAATTACTCTGTCTAGTTGGTCCATATCATCTTCACAAAAGATTTTCAGACTAAAGTCTGCTTCCAAATTGCTTCTAAGACATTCAAGAACAGTGACTTGAATGTAGAATCATTTGGGTTATCCGGTATAAATTCGTCGCAGCACTATACATGGTTGTGTGTGTCTATAAGAAGTAAGGTGTCGTTGTGCGAGACGGTATTACACGTTCACTGTCAGGTACCGCTCTGAAGAGTTTAGCCTCTCGTTGATCAGCATCATTGAAGGAAAGGACTGCTGCAATGTTTCCACACCTGTAGCAGTAGTTAGGAGCTGACCACACAGTCACCAGCTTCTCATCAAACATGTACTTGTAACCTGAGGAAGAAATGAAGTCAGACAGGTTCATCAAACAGGAGTTCTTCTAACATAACCAATAGCAGATTTAAGTGTAAAGTTTTGATGACAGGATTTAAGTACTAACATATGAAGTGTAGGAAATGGTTTGGAATTAATATGACTTTTTTAGCAGTACTTGAATCCTGTATACATTAAGGTAGAAAATAGTGTGACGAGATGGCAAAAGATTATAGAAAAAACTGATGGTAATAATTTACTGTAGTCCAAGGAGCATCAGGATATCTATTCAATATCACACACCATTAACACGAGAATTACACAGTATATCTGAATCTTACCTTCAATATCACACACCATTAACACTAGAATTACATAGTATATCTGAATCTTACCTTCAATATCACACACCATTAACACTAGAATTACATAGTATATCTGAATCTTACCTTCAATATCACACACCATTAACACTAGAATTACACGGTATATCTGAATCTTACCTTCAATATCACACACCATTAACACTAGAATTACATAGTGTATCTGAATCTTACCTTCAATATCACACACCATTAACACTAGAATGACACAGTATATCTGAATCTTACCTTCAATATCACACACCATTAACACTAGAATTACACAGTATATCTGAATCTTACCTTCAATATCACACACCATTAACACTAGAATTACATAGTGTATCTGAATCTTACCTTCAATATCACACACCATTAACACTAGAATTACATAGTATATCTGAATCTTACCTTCAATATCACACACCATTAACACTAGAATTACATAGTATATCTGAATCTTACCTTCAATATCACACACCATTAACACTAGAATTACACAGTATATCTGAATCTTACCTTCAATATCACACACCATTAACACTAGAATTACATAGTATATCTGAATCTTACCTTCAATATCAGACACTGTTAACACTAGAATTACATAGTATATCTGAATCTTACCTTCATGGACTAACTGATGTGCTCTGCATATCAACTTCAAGTTGTTTATGTGTACAAACTGGAAAAGACAACACATTTTTCAGATATTAGTAATGGTTTAGAAGTCAATAGTAGGTTAAAATTTCCACAACTTTGAAAGGCGGGGGGACATGTATTTTGTTTTGATATTGATTCTTCTAACAATAAGAACAAGATATTCAGTAAAACATCGGGTTTTAACAACCACTACATTAAAAATTGTTACTCAACATTGAAATCCACTAGCTTCACCCACAGAGGGTCTGCAGTGTGATCTCCAGCTCTGTCATTATAACAAAACTCAATCTACTTTAACATCTTGTTGTATCAATAAGACATCATGAAACAAGGCTGATCAAATGAGGAGTATAACCTGACTTAAGGTCAAGGTGAATGAGTAAAAAGGTCAAGGTCAAGTTTGAAAATATCACAGGTAAATATTATGTTTAAGTCAAAAGTAAGCTTCTAGGTAAGTTTTTCTAGACATTAACAACAAACCCACAACCTATTCATGGACATAACCTACTGATTATCAGTCCCTTGGAAGTGCTCCATCTTTTATAAAATTTCAATAAAAAAGTTGAAGGAACCTGTGAACCTTACCAGGTATCAATGCTTGTTAACAGCCATATTTCATGCTGTATGACATGAAATGATTCTGTGGCTGAAGAAAAACCACATCTAACATGCTACTTATAACTTTATAAAAATTAAAAATTATGTGTATAGTTTTATGTTATACACAACAATTTGTTTGCTAATAGTTTGTATAAATATGAATTATATTTGTATTGAAAAACAAGTAATTTTGTATCATTAACAAGCAATATAATATAATATACAATCTTCATTTAACAAGAAAAAAAAATCAGTTTAAAACTGATTTATAGTGAAGCAGTTTGACTCACTCTGCTCATCAAATCTATGTCCTAATATGAGTACTTACTTCATTGGTGACCTTTGACCCAAACAGCCACCCAGCTCCCCTGGGACTAATCGCCCATGTCTCTACATCCTCAGGATCAGACCAGACAAGATGTAGATAAAGTTAAGGTCAACAATCCAATGTTTCACATGGTTAAATTCCTGTGTCAATTTTCATGTAGCTTATAAATTGTTTTAAAAATCCTTACAAAGTGGTAGAAAACAATGTCCTGGTTGTCTTCAATTGTAGATTGGATCATGAAGGAATCAAAGATTGATACGCAACAGTATTCAATACAGCCCCATCAAGGAAGGTAGATACAAATGACAAAGACGATGGGGCATCTATATCTGGATTCTCTGGTTTTATCATTGGTTTTGGCGAGAGAGACTAGATGTAATCAGAACAACGGTAGATATTTACATAACTAAGCTTAAAATTGAGACTCAGTCTTGACATGACATAACTACAACTGCATTTATCATGTGGTAATGACAATACAGTAGTGATATTTAAGTTAATTTGACTGAGTTTACACATTAATTCTACATGCTTGACAGTGTTGGCTGAAAAGTTCTTAGATGGTGGGTAACTGTTAACAACAGTAGGCTAAATAACTACCATGGTGTCTGGGAAGTTTTTCCTTATAATACAGTGTACTAGAATGTAACTGAAAAATATAAAACTTAGTGTATCATCAAATTCCCTGTCCAAACCATGATTTAAATATCTTACCTGTGATGGTTATCGAGATGTTGCTGACTGAGAATTATTTACATGTTGAAATTCAACAAAACCGATTATATAGACATGTTTTGTAATTTATGTAAGGTATTACAGAATATATTGCTATGATTTTGTAATTATGTCCCCTAGGCCTATCTCTAGTACAGTGCCTCGTCAATAAAGGATATCACAGAAGGCGCCTTTGTGAGGAATTTCCTGGTTTCTTTCTATGGTTCTGATCTGGTCGATGGTTTTGATGTCTGGGGACAGACCACCGTGGACACACAGAATACACTCATCAATAATCTGTAGGGATATGAAAATCATTTTAAGTCTTACACCAGGACATCATTATAACATTTATTACATTTTCATCCTGCCTTACACACTTTCAGGAACTTTCTGAAATTGCAATATTCTCAATGATGGCTCACACTTGAGGAAAGAATTTCACCACAATTTAACTACTGTCACTTGATCATTTTGTCTTGATGGTGAAAATGAAAGATGTGCCAAACATTGAGTATCATGACTGAAACATATATGTCTATTTTTGTTTGGGCAAAGTTAAAACTATTCAACAATAAAATAAAAATTCATGTTAGGTCAAAACACACCTTGTCTACAGCATGATTTCAAAACATTATTAACAGATAAAGTCAAGTTGGCTTTAAAAACGACATAGAAAAACATGTTTTTAGCATTATATGCACTTCATAAAGAAAATCTTAATGTTGTCTTCATCTTATGCAACATGAATGGAACTCATTACAAATTTTTAATTTCAATTCACGAAGGGCTTGCTGAGATTAAACATGACACAATATACTACTTACTGCAGATACGGTCAGCAAATCAAACACTTTACAACAGTACCGCCAGGCATTCGCATTTCCATATTTAGTTTGGCATTCATCTGTAATTACCAAAATATTTCCTCTATCACTCATGTCTGAAAATATTCTTTCAAAGACCTGACAGGACTTCTGCTCAAATAAATTCACTTTGATCAATAACACAGATAGCTGTGTAGAGTATGTAAGTAACAGAACCTGACCTAATAGTGAACAGAGACTGTGATATGACCGGTGTTGTCATCCTCGTCAACCATTCTTAGAGCCATTTTATTTTAAAGTCAAGGTTTTGAAATATTGTCAACATTTCATGAATTAAAGGACTATCATTAAAATACAAGAAATCACAAACAAACAAAAAAAAAAAATTTCTGCATACACCAACAAATAAACTCCTTGATAACATCTAAATGTTGCTACTCAACATCTTGTGATGACCCACACTGAACGACAGGATCTGTAAAATGAATTTAATCTGGACAACCTGATAATACTCACCATAAAATCCATAGATCTGTGTTATTTGTCTACTTTCATGATTTCCTCGTAACAATGTAATCTTGTCTGGCCACCTAAATGAAATAACAATATGTCAATGATAGTCTGTTATAGAGTATGATTTTACTTTGGCAAAAGCAATTTACATGAGTAACTTTAGAAGTACCTGTAATTGTTTAAGTAACACATACTTACCATTAAAATAAATCTTGGACAAGGGTATGAAATATGACACAAATGTATGATGTTCGCTTGAGATGTATGTCCAAACCTAAATATATACATCAGGTTACCAATGTTGATAAATCTGACAAGAAAAGACATCATATCCCGATGTCTATTTGTTGCCCCAATACATAAGTAACATGTGAAAAATCATCACAGGAGAGAAAAGTTCCAAACATCCTAAACCATTCTTGTGGTTTATATAGCATTAAATATTCATTCTGGCAGACTTTTTGACATCAAACAGATGTGTTTTCCACGAGTTGAAACACCTAGTTCTAAAACCTGTACATAGTAAAAATTATAATCTGATGAAGTTTTGAAAATGAATATGATTCAAGACGAAAACTTACTTTTTTTTTTATTTTATTCTTTTACTGAAGTCACCAAAGTTTCTCCTACGATAAAACTCTAAATTTGCATTCCTCCCAAGTGTTTAGTAGTGAACTACTTTATCTTGACAGTTTCATATGGCCTTCCTCAGCAATTTCATACTAGCATACATTAATTATTCCCTTGAGAAAGTATTGATGTATATGTAGACATTTTTTTCCAAGGGAGACAACTTACCGAGCTTTCAGTGTGAGTAGAAGTGTGAATGTCTCTAAACTGTAGTATCCTCGATCTACAAAGTCACCCTGTAATATTGAAAAAATTAAAGGTTTCCATTTTACCTCAGTTGTAATATAACACTATTTTATACTATTTTGATATAACACAATAACAGCTTTAACTCAACAGTAAAGAGATGCTGAACCCTAAAAGCCAATGATATAATCCTTTCACAAAAACATCAAATAATTTGAATTTCCCTACTATAAATACAACTTCATCACTTTGTGCTTTTTTCACTTGATTATTTTCTTTTGTCCAATATATCCCACATGATTTTTTTTCTTTTTCTGATCTTTTTTAATCTTCAACTTTAAGCAAAATTGTTATGAATACACTTAGCCAAATAAAAGCTATCTTTTTTTGTTAATTACTTACCATAAATATATAGTTTGTGTCTGGTGCTTGTCCTCCTGTACGGAATAGTTCGATGAGGTCATAAAACTGGAAAGACATCAGCATTTTTTTTTCTTCAAAATTTTAATATCATGTATAACAAATATCCACATGAAACTTTTTTTTTTTAAAAAAATGATCATATGATATTGATCATCAATCGCTGTTACCTCCAACCTGTTTACACAATCCAAACACATTTATACAGGTAATACAAAAATCAATTAAATAATACACTTTTTCCTTTCTGTTACCATTAAATTCATACAGTGAAATGCATTGTTAACAATACTTCTTTAGCGTGTGAGAAATAAAACACCTGCAGTGGTTATTAGAGTGTTTCGGTAATTGCCTATCTTGAAGTACTGACCTGTCCATGAATGTCCCCACATACAGTCACTGGTGAGGACACTGGTTGGACATTGGATTCCTCCAGCAACAGTTCACACACCAGGTCACATAATTTCTACGAATAGAAAAAGACACAATTTTGATATCTTCAGTTTACTTTTAGTTCATGTCAATGTAAATTGATAAAACATACCCGGTAATATATTGAAACACTAACAGAGGTCATTACTTCAATGCCTCCACTAGGGATTGAACCCCAAGATCTCTGGCTTAGACTTACACTCAACCAATCTCAATTGTTTTGAGTCTACTTGTAGTATTGATATGATCAAAACTGTATTAGTCACTTTGAAAACATCATAAATGATGTTGGCTGATCAGCCACAGAAAATGTGAGTGATTTCCAACAAATATGGAACAGCTAGAACTGTGTTGATTACCAGAACTATAAAAAAGTCTTCCATTTCGATGAAATATATTGCTACATTTTTATTTGAATCAAATGTGAGTAAGTTATCAATGAATTTTTAAGACAGTCATGGTTCCCATTCCATTCCAGCAATCAGACATTAACAGATTTGGTACAACCATGCCTATGGGCAATAGTCCTATATTCGAAGAAGGATCATTTGAAATTCAAACACATTGAATTCTTTTCAACATTTGTGACAAAATAAGGTATTATCGTTTTGACACGACCCAATAACCAATGCAACATCGTATATCTTTAAACAAAAAGTAAACGATTCAGTTATTGCCCTTTTTATAAAAATCACAAACTTTATCATCTCCATTGCTGATAGTGTGGCTAAAAATAGAACACATGTAAATTCATGCTCACCTATGACATTTGCAATTAATGCTTCCAATAGCTGTACACTGTAGTCCATGGAGAACACAGTCAGAGGTATAAATTGTCACCTTATAGCACCAAGTTTGATAAAAGAAATGAGCATTTCTGGGTCTCGTTTAATACCACAACCGAGTATTTCTTATGCACTGCCAGTTTGGCTTCAGAGTGATGTTTTGATAGAAAGATGAATAACTATAATGTTGCAAGTGTTTAGAAGAATTTCATGCCTTTCTGATTCAAAGTGATCCGCCGTTTGAGTAACTAATTAATTACCCAAAGCAGTAACTATCACTCAAATGCAGGACCATCAAGTAGGGTTGTGCCCAACCCGAATGCGATAATGAAAGGAATAAACAGCACATAATGCAATAACGCGACAATACTGTTCATAAATAATCAGAATTTGGGATTTCATTGTAAACCATTTAAATGAGTGTACGTAGTTCAATATCATTACCTTTAAGTCATTTTCAGGAAGATATTTACAATCCTTCGCAATACTTATCCACTTCTCGATGTCCGCCATTTTTGTTTGTATGAAAGCAAAAGACAGATGTAAGGTATGATCCGATTGGCTGAAATTCGGGAAGTCACCTAATATCTAAATATAGCACTTACCATACCTGAAGGATTCTAGTCTACGAAAAACTAAGTTTGTTCAACAGTAACAAGTAATACCATCTGCAACTCTAATAATGAGTATTCTCCGTATTTTTTTCTGAACAAAAGATATAGGATCATATATGTATTAACATGAAATCTGCCCTAAGCCAGGCCTGAAAAATTAATGTCTCAATTGCTCATCTTTGAGTTGATCACATCAAACTTAACATCCAAGTAACTTAGGTCTCCATAGTTAATGGATTAAAATCTTAAAACAATTTTCCAAGACTGGTCCTTCACCATGCATATATTTGGTTTACTGCATGTTTGAATTTAAAGGCTTTCCAAGTTATCCGAAATTCATGACCCTTGACCCTATTTTTTTCTTTTTATTTCTCTCTCTTTTTCTGTTGGTCTAGAGCATCACTGAATGGAGGAAATTCAATTTAATATCAGCCAAAGGTCTGAGAAAAGAAACATTTAACACGTCTTGGTATTAGAACACAAGTCTAAGCATTAAGATGCATGAATACCAAGCCAATTGAGATTCTGCACAGGGTGGGACATTAAGGTGCATGAATACCAAGTCAATTGAGATTCTGCTGAGGGTGGGACATTAAGATGCATGAATACCAAGCCAATTGAGATTCTGCTGAGGGTGGGACATTAAGAGGTATGAATACCCAGCCAATTGAGATTCTGCTGAGGGTGGGACATTAAGAGGTATGAATACCCAGCCCAATTGAGATTCTGCTGAGGGTGGGACATTAAGATGCATGAATACCCAGCCAATTGAGATTCTGCTGAGGGTGGGACATTAAGATGCATGAATACCCAGCCAATTGAGATTCTGCACAGGTTGGGACATTAAGATGCATGAATACTGGGTCAGTTGAGAGTCTGCTGAGGGTGGGACATTAAAATGCATGAATACTGGGTCAGTTGAGATTCTGCTGAGGGTGGGACATTAAGATGCATGAATACTGGGTCAGTTGAGGTTCTGCTGAGGGTGGGACATTAAGATGCATGAATACTGGGTCAGTTGAGGTTCTGCTGAGGGTGGGACATTAAGATGCATGAATACTGGGTCAGTTGAGGTTCTGCTGAGGGTGGGACATTAAGATGCATGAATACTGGGTCAGTTGAGATTCTGCTGAGGGTGGGACATTAAAATGCATGAATACTGGGTCAGTTGAGATTCTGCTGAGGGTGGGACATTAAGATGCATGAATACTGGGTCAGTTGAGGTTCTGCTGAGGGTGGGACATTAAGATGCATGAATACTGGGTCAGTTGAGGTTCTGCTGAGGGTGGGACATTAAGATGCATGAATACTGGGTCAGTTGAGGTTCTGCTGAGGGTGGGACATTAAGATGCATGAATACTGGGTCAGTTGAGATTCTGCTGAGGGTGGGACATTAAAATGCATGAATACTGGGTCAGTTGAGATTCTGCTGAGGGTGGGACATTAAGATGCATGAATACTGGGTCAGTTGAGGTTCTGCTGAGGGTGGGACATTAAGATGCATGAATACTGGGTCAGTTGAGGTTCTGCTGAGGGTGGGACATTAAGATGCATGAATACTGGGTCAGTTGAGATTCTGCTAAGGTGGGACAATAATAATATCTTTGTCAAATGTAACTTTCTCACTTTTCCCCACAATGACCAGATTGTGTTTGACTCCTCAAACACAAAGAAGTATGGAGCATGAGCAGGTGGGTTTTTCTCTCAATACTTCTTTATCCTTCTACTTGAATAGAATCATACGTTAAAAGTCACCAGTATTGTATAACTTTTGTAAATGACTAGATGGTAGACTGCTGGTGGGACTTTACTTTCTCATGTTTGCTAGAAACCCTGTATGTCATCACTCAGTGGTATGATTCTGAATAAACATGAAATAAAAAATTCCAGTCAGGAAGCAATCATGGAGTATGGATTGGACAGGTTCAAAGGGACTCCGAGTTAAAATATACAGAAACACGAAATAAAAAAATTCCAGTCAGGAAGCAATCATGAAGTTGGGATTGGACAGAAGAGAGTTCTTAAAAAAACCTTTATTTATATGTGAAGTGATCATGGTAGTGGCACATAAAAAATTGAGAACTTCACCAAAAGAAAATAAAACAATCATTTTATCAGTCCTTTTTCAAAAGTTTCAGTTGCAATATTCCATGGCCGAAATAACCAAAGGACAAAGCACATTGATATAAATTAATAGACACCTAGCTGCAGCACATAATGTAAACAGGAGGGCTAAAATACATTAAACTGTTGTAATCTACATCTCGATGTACTAGATTTTAGCACACCTATTTACTACATATCTTTTCTAGAAAAACAACAGCAAATCATGGTAAGTTCATTCTCATTTTAATTTCAAAAAACAAGACAATTTACTAGCTTAAAAACATAGAAAACAAATACTCAGCATCCTTCCTCATAATGAAATGAGATAAATAGAGTTGATATTTCTTGAATTATTGATTCAATGTACATGATGTCAAAATGTAAATAATTCAGTTGGTTGATGGCATAGTGTTGTTGATATGGTCATTCACTGTAGTTACTGTTCAAGTACACTCCATGTTACATCAGTGGACGAGGGCACTGATAATGTAAACAAAGTACGCTCCATGTTACATCAGTGGACGAGGGCACTGATAATGTAAACAAAGTACACTCCATGTTACATCAGTGGACGAGGGCACTGATAATGTAAACAAAGTACACTCCATGTTACATCAGTGGACGAGGGCACTGATAATGTAAACAAAGTACACTCCATGTTACATCAGTGGACGAGGGCACTGACAATGTTAACAAAGTACGCTCCATGTTACATCAGTGAACGAGGGCACTGATAATGTAAACAAAGTACGCTCCATGTTACATCAGTGAACGAGGGCACTGATAATGTAAACAAAGTACGCTACATGTTACATCAGTGGACGAGGGCACTGATAATGTAAACAAAGTACGCTACATGTTACATCAGTGGACGAGGGCACTGATAATGTAAACAAAGTACGCTCCATGTTACATCAGTGAATGAGGGCACTGATAATGTAAACAAAGTACGCTCCATGTTACATCAGTGGCCGAGGGCACTGACAATGTAAACAAATTGAACTGATCTTGTGTTGTACTTACTTCGAAATTCTCCTTGGTCCTCGCTTTCTACTACAAAAATTTTAGTATAGCTTCAGAACTATGACTTGGATTGAATAACAATTTTACAATATAAACAGCATTCTTCATAGTTTTCTATGTACACATAAAACATCCTTTATCTTCCAAGACTACATCAACTGGGAGAGTTTGCTATAGATGACAAAAGACAGCTGCAACTATTTCCTGTTTTTTACTGATATATAAATTCTGTTAATTACTTTTGTAAATACATTCACCCTGGATATAAATGTAGACAAACTAGAATATGTCTGAAAGACATGAATGCTCCATTCCAATGCATAACATGACCTTTTGACAATTAAGTAATGATCACCTTCACAAGGTGTAGGACTTGATGTTATGAAACTGCATGATAAACCTGAACTAAATCAAGAGTTCTCATGACCTGACTTTGAATAGGACACGACAAAATGGAACACGACTGACAAACATAAGTATCACGATATACCCCTCAAATATGATACCAGCATAAACATCACATACACATGATATCACCCTTCATCACTGAGAAAGTTTTGTAATGCTTAGGTAAGTCAATATTACTTCTCACAGAAACACTACACACAACACCAACAAGTTTGTTGTTGCTCCTGTTTTGTGTTTTTACCAAAGCAGCCATTTAAAATGACACACTGAAATAGCTTTAATATCATATCCAGTTCTGTCCACTTTGGTCTCGACAATACAATATATATCTCTAACACAGACTATAGTGACACATGATCACCGCCTCATTCTAAATGGGTTGAACTGTCTATACAAGCTGCCTTTTCCTCCAAGGTGTGACTGCAAATCCTCATATGATGGCAGTTTTGACAGATTTCCATAAGCTGCTACACTCAGTTTTGTCTTGAGCATGCGACTTGCCACTCTCTGTACATCAGCACCTGTGATATTCCCTGAAGGAGAAAGGATACGTTCTTGTGAAAAATACAGAATTAATGTGAAAAACAGAAAACATAACTGGCACTCTTTAGTGACCTCTGACAGAATGTTCAGTGTTATAAAAATGGCAATGATATTCAGAAGTTACAATGGGATCTGATGTATATATACTGAGCCCCAAAAGAAATGCAAGTCTAACTCAAGATATGTTTTTGTAAGAAATCAAAAACAGGAACTGAATTTTTACTGATTTATTCAAATTTTTTATTATCAATATATTAACAGTAGTATACAAAAGGTCACAACTAAAAATTTTCACATGAAAATGTACTTGCGTTTTTTATGGCGTTCAGCATATGAACAAGGACAGTCATCAAGATTCCCCGCCCATGTTCATTTGTAAAATATATACATTTAAAGTGAGCAACACTGGAAACTGGAAAAGATATCAGCCAATCAGGTCACAGCAGCCTCATTAGATATGGGAATTTGCCATTAATCGAACTTGGGCAAGGCATTACAGCAACAATAGTACCATCAAGGTTTCATCAAAATCCTACTAGTCCTTCAAAAGACATCATGCTGAAAGCAGCAGACGATCCAACAGAACCCATTTGAATATCCCCCGCCAACTTTGTTGTGCAGGGGATGACAAGTCTGACATGGGCTGACAGCAATGTACATCTTTAAAATGCTTACCAATTGCATCAAAATAGTACTCGACAGGCCGTCGGTGTCCATTGGCAAGTACCTGGCGCCCAACATCTTCAAACATGACAGGACGCATTTCAAGGTTCATCATCAACATGGATTGCAGTTGTGTCTTCGCTCGTTCAAGCTCCTCCTGTAAGTTTAAAACAACACTCTCATGTACCAAGTAGGTTAAAACAACACTCTCCTGTACCTTCATTAAAATAACACTCACCTATAGGTATGTCAAAACAACACTCTCCTGCATCTTCATTAAACAACACTTTCCTATACCCAGGTTAAAAAATACTTTCCTACACCTAGGTTAAAACAACACTCTCCTGTACCTAGCAGGTAAAACAACACTCTCCTACACCTAGGTTAAAACAATACTTTCCTCTATCTAGGTTAAAGCATCACTCTCCTGTACCCAGGTTAAACAACATTCTCCCATGCCTAGTTTACATCTTACACCTAATACCTTTTTATATTACATATAGAGATATTTCACCAAATATTTTATATCTTGGTTTGATAATTTCACCATGGGTTGTCAATAAAACAATGATACAAATAATTTATTCTCCTTTTTGATTTAACATATGAGACTGCATGAAGTGGAATCCAACCCATGCTAACCAAAATTTAAACACCTTTAGGCCAATCAAAGTATTTCAAAATGTCAAAAGGTAAAACACATACCACACGAATGTTGCCTGCAGTTTCACAGAGTTCCTGAGTGATGACCTCTGCCAGCTCACCCAACTGTAAATATAAACATAAACATTTTATGAAAATGTACACACCCAAATATAATCATTTAGTGCAAATGTACTCTTATCAAATGTACTTAAAAACTGTACAGACTTCACAGCAGAGTAATGCATTTTTTGGTAAGATGACAATATTAGGCTTGCTTTTATGCATACTGGGGTATAATGAAGATACCAAATTTTTGCTATCACCCACTCTGCCATTCAATTTAAAATCAAACATTGCAGACAAGTGATGATGAACCCCTCCAAAGATATCAGCACAATTCTTTCCAATGGTAATTAGGATTTATGTATAGAAATTCTGACATTGGCAACAAAGTCAATTGAAAATGGAGAAAAGCAAATCAGAATGTGTCACTTAAATTATCAACATCATACTCTCCTCATATTTCAATGACACATTTGAGCATATCGGTATAATAAATTTCTCCAATATCAAGGTCAGTTATCTGCTTCAACAAGAAAGATGGTCGCAATATTTAGGCTAGTGTCACAATGATTGTCATAGCAACAACTTGGTAATTCAGGAGTATATCAGGGATTAGAACAGGAAAAATATCAAATGGAAAAAATGCATTACATGATAATTATTTTAGAATGCTGGTTTTACAGTCCTTCAATAATGTGTAGGAGTGAAAGAAAAAATCCTGAAATGCAACATTTTTATAATATTGCAATTGTTTCAGAAATTTTCTTTCATTTCTCACAGAAGAAAATCATTTTTGTAGAGATCATTCTAATCAGTTTGATTTTCTGGCACAATTTTTTAAAAATCATTTTAACCACATATTAGTGGTATCTACACCTTACCTTGTCTGGATGGGAGCTACAATGAATGCAGAAGAGGCCAGTGTCTTCATATGCATGATTTACAGCAGATGCACTGTTTATCCAATGGTACCTTCAACAAAGCAAATATTCCTTTTTAATTCATGGCTCATAATACAAAATTGAAGTTCTGCCTGCGGAGATCAAAAATTTTTAAAAAATCAGAACTTGCTCAGCACATTTTTACTAAACAACTACATAGCAAACTGCTGTAGGTTTGTTCCTGAATCCTTTAAAGAATAAACAAACAGAAACAAAGCTGTGATGAAAATGACAAAATGACTGACGAGGTTAACACTAAATGCCCAACCCCATGAAAAGGCAGGGACATAGAATATATCACTAGAACCACTACAGGAAATAAATATCAAAGAAGTAACTAAGTTCTATGGTAAACAGCTAGACAATGGTTAGACAATAAATTTTGTGGTCTATGAGTTAGCAAATAGGATCAACATTACTAGGCCTCTCTGACTCATCTGTTTAGGATATGTGTATAGAATTGAGTGTATATTCCGTTGTCAGGCCTCCCTGACTCACCTGTTGAGGACATGTGTATAATGTTGAGTGTACATTTCCTTGCCACGCCCCTCTTACTTACCTGTTAAGGACATGTGTATAAAGTCGAGTGTACATTCCCTTGCCTGGCCCCCCTGACGAGAATGAACTGCCTCCTCCCAACAGGATGTTAAGGACACAAAATGGTACAAAGTCATCCTCCTTGTGGGAACAGCTCTCCAAGCCTAAGACAAGATGGGCCAGATCAGGCATGGGATTAGGGCCCAGACTGACAGCTGACAGGTCCTTACTTACCTACAAAACACAAACAGGTTTTGTGGTCTTATAAAAAAAACAAAAAATGTGCATGTTTGTTGACACTTGATTTCATGAATAAATCTTGCTTACAAAATCTACTAGTACTAAATTCCATGTCTATTTTTATCATCAAAGGAAAATAAATCCACCACAAAAATGAATGATTTTACAGTAAAACAAATGCCCCTATAAACAACACAGGTTTTAGCTATGGACTAGGATAAACAGCTCATCCATTCCTGTGAAAACTTCCCCTTTCTTAGGTCCCACATCCTCACTGTAAAAACCAGGAGGGTAACCTACCTTTACTTGGCCACCTGTGTATTGAGCAATAGATTTATCTCGGGCAGCAGACGGATTGATGAGTTTAGGATCATCATGCCATACTGGCTTTTTGTTGAGGAAGCTTTCCTTGACAGCTTCCACAAACTGTTGGTGATCAACACCAACGCCAGCAACCACCATCCTGTCAGGTGTGTGGTGGTGATGCATGTATGAGAGAAGAGCACTGCGGTCCATGACAGGGATATTCTTGTTTGGACAAAGCTTGGGCAGGCCAAGTGTGTTATTCTGGTAGGCAGCCTAGACAAAACAATTAACAAACACATGTGTTAAAAATGGTAAATCAATAATACTACCACAATTAACAATGAATTAGAAATCATAACACCAAATTAGTAGGTTTTTATAAACATGGCATCGTGAACATTCAGGATTCAATAAGGAGTTTTCTGTAAAATATTCAAAAATAATTCTTTTATGCTTTTAAACAATTTTAGACAAGCTTACATGAATAGAAAATACCCAGGTATATACTGCAAAATATTGCAGGTAATAACTTCCTTCAATGTTATAAATACAGCTTTAGAGTTAACAACTTACTGCATGTGACATTTCTATAAGTATAGATTCAGGATCAGGGTTCATTTCAATAGACTCTAGTTCGTATGTCACGATGTTCCTCGAATCATCAATCTAAAATGAAATCAAAAGAAATTTTAATTATATTTTCTGATTATCTCCGAAGTAAACTGCAATTTGTTCTATTTTTTTTTTAATTATATCTAAAGTAAAGAGCAATTAGTTGTATTTTTTAATTCAAACTTAATTTTAAACAATAACAAAGCTGAAGCATTTAATTTAACAAAGTATTTTATTCATGTTTAATAAATAAACAAAATTAAAAAAAAAACACAAATTCATAAATACACATATATACAAGAGATCCCGGAGAGATCTTGGAGTCCTCTACTGTCTGATCTTTATTTGTCCTGTAAAAGTTGGATCTTATCCCTTTTTCTCCTGTTTTTGTTCTTAATTATATGAAATTTGAAAATTCCACTTATTACATCACGGTCATAATCTGCCAAATCACAGACAGTCCTCTGTCAGCCACATAGTTTTTCTGAACAGTCCCAAAATCAAAACAGCACAACCAAGGACAAACAGGAACTATCCTATAAGATGTGAGAAAGAGCCATTCTGTCCTTCTAAAGAAATAGTAATTTAACAAACTTTCATTATCAAAATCCAAGATCATCCCTGTCAGCAATTTTGCTATTCTGATTAAAACAAAATGAAAAGGTTACAATTACAGACCAGGAGAACCTAGGTATGAAATTTGACAAAGATAAATTCCGTTCTTTCTCAGCAAAAATCCCAAATGGGTGCCTTTCAGCCATTCTATTTCTTTTTTATAAGTCCTAGAATAACAAGGGTACAGCTAGGGAATGAGAGGAAACTTCATAACAAATTTTATGGTTATCTATTCAGCACTTTTAAAGAATTAGCAATAACAAAATAGTGCAAGGACATACAGATGAGGACTACAGACACAGAGTGATTTTAACACCCTGATGATGCTGGACTGGGCTAAAAATGGGCAGCAATTATATCATCAGTTTCCTAAATCATGATGATATGATATCAGCGAAAAACAATCCACACACTCTACTTACCTCTTGTTCAGTTAACTTTGGTCGTAGAGTGACCTCTGCCAAAATATTGGACAGTAAAGGAAGCGCTGAAGACTCGGCTGACATTGCATATATCAACGTATCTCTACAACAGAATTTTAAATTGCTTTTATAAGAACCAAAATGATTGGAGGAATAACTGGATTCTTTTCAATTTGATCTAACTATCTGCCAGATAAAGACTGTCTTTAATAACATCACAGAGAATATGATGAATAACATTTCTCCAAATAAATCAAAAGAGGACGCATAGTGTAAAATATATTCCAGGGTTACATATCCTAGTCATTGTTACAGTCATTGTTTAGCTCCGATATTTAAAGGTAGGGATCAACTGTATGAAAAAAAGTTGCTGTTTAAATAGATATGAAACATTTGAGACAAAGTGGATGTTTCCATCAGATGTGTAAAAGTAGCAGGCCAACTAAACAAAAAAAGTGTTCTTTGATTAGAAGAAAAGGTAGGAAGGCGGTGGTATCTGTGTGATAAAGTTGATATTTAGATCAGATGTATAAAATATCTTTATTTCGCAACAAGCTAATTGAACTGATACTAACCACTCTTATTGATCCAGATGTAAGCACACAAGGGGTTTAATTGTGGGATGGAACTGAAACCAGAGTACCCAGAGAAATCCCATACGGTAGGTCAGGTAACCCACTATATTTTTAGTCCATTCAGAGAACTGAAACTTGGATGACTCCGTAAAAGACAAGTATGTTACCTTTGCACCATATGACCACCCTAAAGGTGAGAGGTGTAAAGGTATGAGGCTATCAGAGTGACAATCTGGGTATTTTTATGTATTTTAGTTTGCTCTCAAACCAAAGTCTTGTGCATGTTACAATTTAAGTGTTGTTGTGGGAAATCTTGAGGTCATGATCTTGGAAACTAAATAAAGTTTTACCTGGCTGACAAGCAATCTGTGATACCACCATGTTTTTCTAAAATCTGGAAAATTTCATCTCGGCTATACTGTGAAGTTGACTGAAAGAATAAGAACAATGATGAGAAATATTTTCAACCATGCTAATTAAATTATGAATTGGTCAATGAAATGTCGAACAATAAGAATTATTACGAAATATGAATGCCTAAATTTTCCTTTAAGTATAAAAATATTACATCAATACTCAGTATTCTAGTATAGTTAACATCAGTTTTGTTGTTTATATTCACTTTAAAGACTTCATTAATTGTAAAAGACGATCAACAATTACCAGCCAATCTATAGTGTTGAAGGATCTTAATTCATCGTTAAATGTAATATCACTTGCTTAAAGCTCAAAAAACAGTTTATTTTATGTCAGAACACATACAAGAAATGTCATCCTAAGATATCAGTTACTTACATTAAATGCTAACTTCTCCAAAAAATGGGATATTCCACTTGGATATGCAACTTCATATCTAGATCCTGAGTCAACTAACACTAAAAACAAACAAAATTTTTTGATAAAAAAAAACAATATGTTTTTATACAATTAGAAGTGTGGACTTTGCTAAAGGATGTTGTCATTTAGTACTATCAGCCAGAAAACTTGCTGCATTCCTCTGTTTGGCAACGTAAATGGATGATTTACAACTAGACATGGGATAGGTTAAGCCAGAATTTAATACAAAGATTGTTTTATACACTAACAAATAACAGTGCATATTGGAGATTTTTATAGGCACCAAGTAAATTGTATGACACATGTCTTAATATATACATCCTACTGTAAATGTAACTCAAGCCTACAAATATCCTAAAGTCAATATGTGACACATGTCGATAAATACACACCTCCTACAGTACAAAAATGTCCAAATTTGTTTTCTGATGCCACTCGCAGTCCATTCTCAAGTGTTGTGACCTGTGTCACCTGTTTCTGGTTGTCTAAAGTTGCATATTTTGGCTGTGGTAACCCTGGCAACCGTTCTGTCAATGGTACTTTGGAAATGTTAGTAGTCTCCCCACCTTTAACACTGAATGCTCTTTGTTTCACACTGAAAATAAACATCATACTATAATTGTTCATGACCGTCCATAAAGCACAAATGTGAAGTATTCCATCTATATGAGATTATCATCAACATTAAGCAAAGCCAACCGCAAAACGATGTATAGTCTGTAACTGGAGTGGCAAAAGCACCCTATCAGCAACCAATAAGAAAAATGAATCATTTTAGTGTTATTGGCTTTATAAGCGGTCTCCGTACTTTTCAGTGTCAGGTATAAGGTTGACCAAAGCTGACTGGTGTAAACAGCATAACCACATATCAAAGTTTACAGACCAATATTCCTACCTAGCTCTAAGAAAATGAGCATCAATGACATTTTCTATTTCCTTGGGTCATCATTGTAACTGTATTCATAAGTTGTGTTCATGCTATCACTAATTTAGAATTAGTACTAAAACCATAAGTCTCCATTCGTTCAAAGCTAGTGGAGACATAATAAATATGTTCAGATATAGATCTACCTAACCGTTCTTTATCTTCTGTGTGATTTTCTCTATCGAAACAACAAAATATTCAACCTTACTTCATCACTTGACCGCAACTTAATATTTTCAGAAATATAACATATTACCGGAGTAAACCTAGATATAAAGAAAATGGTGATACAGCATGTGCTTATTATCATTGCACTGATCCAATATGGTAAGTTATGGACACAGTCCAACGCAAATATGAAAGTCCCGTAAGTCCTGTCATAAACAACTAAACATGAAATCTGGTAAACTCGGAATGTACCATTTGCGGTCTATCCACCCTATTAAATTCCCATGAGCCAAATGAGAATGAAAATTCTAGAGCATAAAGCTATGTAGTAAATATCATAAATAACTTAACATCTCAACTCACTTTTGTAGACGACAAAATCGACAACAACCTTGCCGCACGACTCTGGTCCACATGGGAGTCGCCATTTTCACTGCGTCAGGCCTTTCGGGTGTTTTCGATCTATTTCGGTTATCATTTCCGAGGTGTTCGAACAGCTGATTAAAAGTGAAACTAGGAAGCCACGTGAGAGTGAGACACTGACATTTAACAATTGCTAGCTAAAGCGAAAAGGTAAGATCGATGGACTATGTTGTATTGTCAATCCAAGTCAAGTCAATCATTGAATATTAAGCAATTTCACATTGATTTTTTTTTTAAATTTCATGTTATAAACGTCAACTTTGTTTTATTTCAATATGACGAAATACAATGTAAATATTTCAGTAACTAGGGGCACTCCTCAATTAGTGATCATTGTTAAAACATAGATCTTTGTTGAACATGTCAGATCTCGGCTTTTTGCTTAAATTATAGAAATTACATTAATTATTTCATGCATGTTATGATTTGTATGTAAGCTATTTTCAAACAACATTTTTTTTATGGGAGACTGTCTTGCGAAATACATGTAACTTTATATACTAGCTGTCTGAGGATTGTTCTATAAACCCAGCATATAAGGTAAATGTTGTTAATTTAGGGTTTAGTGATCTGCCATTACATGTTTTAAATGACAACACCTCTTCAGGCTGCATTTCTTATCCGACTGTGAAAATATGTTACAAATCGACAACCTCATGTATTTCTTTGTTCTGATACTTTATACACTTGGTAACAAACGTCACATTTTGTACAAGTTCACATTTTAACCCTCTGCTTTCAAAAGCTAGGTCACAGGTCAAAAGTTTCATTTATCATTTATGATATAAGGTAATAATTATTTTTTCATTATATATACACAAATTACAACGTTTTGATTTGTTGATTTTTTCTTTCCATTTCTTGATGATCGTTATCAAGTCTACCTCCTCCCACTTGATAATTGTGTCTGTCAGAACACCTTTTGTATGAATGGAATATGTTTACACATTCAATCATGTAAACAAAAACTGACCACAACATCATTAAATATTTAAATATTTTACGATGTATTCAAAATAAAAACAACAAACAAAATACAGATTTATCAGCTAAAAAGTCTGTTACTTTATATTTCAAAATATTTTGAACTTTGGACTGAAAGCAATATTACAACACAAGATCAAAACGTTGTCCAGGAATAAATGTTGTGTCCGACTTATGGATTACAAGATCAATTTTAATCTTGCCTTTGGCTTTAATGTTAAAAATGATTTTCTGATGGTAAATTAGCTGAGAAACTAGCAAACGTAAGTGATACTTTCTGTATTGTATTGGAATCAGCAAGGATTCCTAGCCAAGTTACTACTACTGCTTATAGTTCAACAGCACTTACCACTCTCTGACACTGTACATTTCCATTTGGAATGTGACAAGCCCACTCTTAAATGAATCTTTAATAACTGTGATTGGTACAAATTAGCCGTCAGTGACATCACATCATGTCACACAAGCCTTTATGCAGAGTGATTTGTTGTGAATTAATCCTTCATTAAATTATCAAATTTATGCATTTATTTGTTATTTTTGTTTTTGAAACGTAGCTTAAAAATCAGATTTGATAGGACTTTCTCATTTCGTTCAGGTACGGGAAAAAAAAAACCGATTTGCATACTGAATGAGTGTGCGTACGTGATAAGTTTTACAAATTGGTTTTTCTTTCATACCAGCATGAAACTAAAAATTATTCCCCTATCAGAGCTTAAAATCTTTAGATATTAAACATAGTTTCTCATGGACAGAACAGCTCATAACACAGCCCAAATTACTCTACACTTCTCATTTCACTTCACATTTTGTACCACTTTGGGATGCGAGGGTCACTCATATTGTCTGCAATGCATGATTGTTCTTAATTTAACTACCATATAATCACATGTGCTAGGTATGGATCTGTGTCAGTTTTTACTGTATATCCCTAATATTCATATTCAATTTGAAAACTCGAAGAGAATAAGCATAAAGTGTGGGAAAATATCATTATGCATCTTTTGAAGTTTAGACGTGTCGATTTGTGTTCATGTGCTTGACGTGTATGAAAACAAACAAAGGATACGATTTTATCATGAAGATTAAAGGCCTAATGATTATATATCATTCAAACTAATAATTGTGATTTGAATCATAAAAACATCTTGCAGCCCTGTATTATTTCCTTATTTCAATATAATGAGTTTACCAGTAATTGCTGTTTAGTAAAATATTGATACTTAATGCTATTGAATAGATTCTTGCGTTCAAACATGTTTATTTGATAAATTTTAGATAATTAATGATTTTTATGATTAAAAAGGTGGATTATTTGTATTTATCATGAAAATGATTATGTCTCATGACAAAGTATGATAAGTGTCGTACATAAATAAAGAATATTTATAGGTATTATATATCTTTATATAACTTTTATTTTCTACCACACGACCCAGTCCTAGATCTCATAATCTAATCTGAGTCTCACTCACACTGACCCGGTTAGTAATCACATTAGACGTCAACACATGGAGACATCCTCACATGTTCTCCATGTTTACCTATCACATTCCAGTTGTGGGTTGGATTTCAAGAGTTTAACCACTAACCATTAACATTTCATATCATACTGTCGGGGATGGGGTGACTTGTGTACACCCCTCTAGATCTGTCACCATGACTACAGTGATGTCATGTATGTTTGTACATGTGGATTTGGATCTGTGTTGTTTAAACATTTTACAATATGAAACGGAGGTCATTTTTTATTTCAATGCCTCAACTAGGATTTGAACTGGCTTACTTATGTCTGATCTCAACCAGTCGAACTGAAGAGAAGTTCCCTCGAGCCAAACAGTATATTGAAGTTAATGTTTACCAGGGTTACCGGTGTAATATTATATTTGTATCCCAGTAGTTAACTCGTCTTTGAGTTTCCAGGTGTTATAGCAATGCTTGTGTAAGTACCACAAAGTATTCTTGGATCCCTACATGAGCACAAACTTAACAGAGGTCATTATTTATTTCAATGCCTCTGCTAGCACTCGAACCCAGGACCCCTGTCTGACTAGTCTGATGCTCAACCAATCCAGCTAAAGAGAAGTTCTCTCAAACCAAGCTGTATATTGCAAGTTAACTAATACTTTACCAGGGTTACCTATATTTCATTTTTTTTTTTGTGTAAGCGTAGAATTGATGCGTAAATATACAAATGTACATATCATACTGTTATGTTAATGTTTAGGACTAGATATAAAAACATCATTCTGTACACCTGATACTGTTTACTCATCCGTGTCTATCTCACTGATTTCCTTCCTGTATTATAGCACCAAGTACAGGTAAATATTAGAGATAGGATGTGGAATTTCCTACTTCATTTCCAGTTATATCCTTGTGTTGGTATATCACATTGCATGTGCTGTGAGAAGGGATATGTACACTAAACTACACATAAATAAAACATGCGCTTATGTGACATTCTTTATCTGTTTATCATGCACAACTATCAGGTCATATAAATTGTATGTTAAAATACCCACAGCTGTCAGGTCTTTTATATATTGTATGTTAAAACACCTACAGCTTTCTAGTCATATATATTTTGTATGTTAAAACACCCACAGCTGTCTAGTCATATATATATTGTATGTTAAAACACCCACAGCTGTCTAGTCATATATATATTGTATGTTAAAACACCTACAGCTTTCTAGTCATATATATATTGTATGTTAAAACACCTACAGCTTTCTAGTCATATATATTTTGTATGTTAAAACACCTACAGCTTTCTAGTCATATATATTTTGTATGTTAAAACACCTACAGCTTTCTAGTCATATATATTTTGTATGTTAAAACATCTACAGCTGTCTGGTCATATATATCTTGTGTGTTAAAACCCCCACAGCTGTCAGTTCATATATATATTGTATGTTAAAATACCCTCACTGTCTGGTCATATATATATATTGTATGTTAAACACCCACAGCTGTCTGGTCATATATGTATATTGTGTGTTAAAACACCCACAGCTGTCTGGTCATATATATATATTGTATGTTAAAACACCCACAGTGTTTAGGTCACATGTTAATTATAGGTTAAACATAAGTTGATTGATGCATGTTTAATGCATGTCAGCATAGTTAATTGGTCACATACATGCTATTATTGATCTGCCTTGAACTTGAAGCATATCCCAGAGCTGACCCGAACTTTATCAGCGAGCACCTGACCCACATAGACAGTGTACTTCAACATGTAAACAGGTGATAACTGTTATAAGGAAAAAGTACTAAATAAAAGGGATGTTTTTTATTCTGTGACAAACCTCAGCTAGTTTCTCTTTCTACTTATAGACTAAGGTAAGTTTATAATATACTTCATACTTTTTCTTCCTCTATGGGATGTTGGTAAAAGTGCTCAATGGTAAAAACCTTGTGTAGGATTAGTTTTAAGACTTCAGAGAGTTCATTGAATGCCAGTGATTCTCCAGAGGTCAGAGTTTCTCTGGTGGTCTGAAATATTCCAGAGGTCTGAGACTCTATAAAGATTGGGGATTCTTCAGAGGTCTGTGATTCTCTGGAGGTATCGGGCTCTCTGAATGTATGAGAATCTCCATAGATCTTAGACTCTGCATAGGTCTGAGATTCTATTGAGGTCTGAAATATTCCAGAGGTCTGAAACACTATAAAGATTGGAGATTCTCTGGGGATCTGTGATTCTCCTGAGGTTTAAGACTCTCTGGATATATGAGACTTTCCTGATTCTGCAGAGGTGTGAGATTCTACAGACGTCTGGCATTCTATAATGATCTGAGATATTCCAGAGGACTGAGATTCTCCTGAGATCTGAGGTTCTCCTGAGGTCTGAGATTCTCCTGAGATCTGAGGTTCTCCTGAGGTCTGAGATTCTACAGAGGTCTGAGACTCTACATAGGTCTGAGATTCTACAGAGGTCTGAGACTCTACAGAGGTCTGAGATTCTACAGAGATCTGAGACTCTACAGAGGTCTGAGATTCTCCTGAGATCTGAGGTTCTCCTGAGGTCTGAGATTCTACAGAGGTCTGAGACTCTACATAAGTCTGAGACTCTACATAAGTCTGAGATTCTACAGAGATCTGAGATTCTACAGAGATCTGAGACTCTACAGAGGTCTGAGACTCTACATAGGTCTGAGATTCTACAGAGGTCTGAGACTCTCCTGAGGTCTGAGACTCTGCATAGGTCTGAGATTCTACAGAGGTCTGAGACTCTACAGAGGTCTGAGATTCTCCAAAAGTCTTAACTTACCATAGGATATTCTGATTTGCAATATATAGGTAGCTAGATCTGTTTTAGAAATGTGTTATCTGATACACTGTATGTTAGCAAAAGAACGACTGCTCTTTATTCAAATATGAAGGTAGAATTAATTTATCTATTTAGAGGAAGAAAAAGAAATTCTTAAAATTAAATGGTATATTGATCATGTACATGTATGACCCTCTGAACGAGTTTTCATGAGAGATGTGTATAACCATCAGTTATCAGATGTGTCTGGGACAGACAGTGTTATCACCAGTTGTCTGTTTGTCTGGATAAACAATCACAATTTAGAACATTGATTATAATCTGTACATGTTGAATACCTGTGTCAAGGTGTGTATAAACATACTGACTAGTAACACAAATTTTGAAAGAGAGTGAAGAAATGTAAAAAAAAACATACAAATACTTGCCGACAGAATATCGCTTGGAATGTAATTTTAAACAACTTTCATGTCGATTTCAAGGTTTTTAGAAGCAATATTTGTTGTTAGTTATGAATTTACCTGTTACAGTTAAGAGCATCAGTAACATTACTTGACATTACTACAGCTTTGAAATCACAACTAAGAAACACTGTATGAATTTACCTGTCACAACAAGGATCCCTGTAATGTTAACAAACACAATGAAGTCCTTGTAGGACTGTATAACTTGACTAGGATTAAAGTCAATCAAGCAGACATGACAGGTACCCATCATTAATTAATTGTGAAATTACCTGACATAACTAGGGTCTCTTTTTAAATTACCTGAAAATTCCTGAGACAACAAGAATCCCTGTTAAATTCGTTTGAAATTAACGGATATAACTAGGGCCCCTGTTAAATTACTTGCCACATCTAGGATCCCAGTTAAGTTATCTCATATAGTCTGATTTATATCACGATCTTTCCTCTGAGTGAAAAACAATAACTCTAACAAAGGAGATTGTAAAGTCATTTATGTCAATGAAGACATTGTTCTATCCTTGTGACTTTTTGGGTGAAATGATATATTTATCTCAACTTTAGTTTAAAACAAAAAATGTTTATGTTTCTTTTATTTGATTCAGTATTTGATAAAAAAATTTCTGTCCACAGTTTGTTGTTCATGCAGTTGTGAAGTGCTGACAGCCACTAATGAGTACAGTCTCCCAATCCGTCAGTGTCCCCTATGATTGGCTGATGGACGACCTGGATGACAGTTGCCATGCAAACTGTTCAGGTCATGGTGGATGCCTTGATGGAAAGTGTGCTTGTTTGGTATGTTCATATAATGTATGAATTGTGTTATCACTAGTATTCTACAGGCAGTGTGATGTAAAGGTAAACAATTGCTCTGTAAAACAATAATTAAAACACAAAACTTTACAAACACAGTGTTACAGACATCTGTAACTACACATACCTGTCATCACTACAGATGTCCTACTACTAAAAACATGTCACATTTTATGATTTAAAATATTTACTGAGCTTGATCTAAGATTGTAAGTATACATATCACAAAATTGGCTTCATTATATCATTAGTGTCAAGATTAAAATTTTTTTGAATTTTCACTCACCCAGTTTGTGGAGAAAATTTTTCAGTACCTGTAAGTATACTGAGAATGATTTTTTTAATGAAAGTCAGTATATGTAAACTAATTGTTGGGATTTTGAGGTATATTTTGTGCATGCCTTCAGAGTTTATTCACTTTTAATTGAAAATTATTTACCATATGTCCAAATGTTTTGTATGTATACTACCTCTCCGTATAGGTAAGCTATAATTTGACCTTGACCTGGTTTATCTGACCTCTGTATGTTGGTAAGCTCTAATTTCACATTGACCTGGTTTTAGGTACAATTTACGGGAGGTACATGTCAGGACCCCAACAATGGCTACTTCCTGGCATTCGGCTGTATATTTGTTATGCTGAGTATGGTGTCGTTGGTTCAGTTGGTAAGTGGAAAATTACATTCAAAAATTTCTATGCATTTTTCACACCCATTTAACTTATTCATTCATTAATGTATTTATTACTCAATATCCTATATTAATATAAGCATATTCTCTGTAATCACTATATTACATATTGTGTTACTGGTGTGTTAGATTCCTGTATATTTGTCAGGATATGTACAGTGTTTCATTTACTGTGTCATCTACATGATACATTTGTTCACACAAGTATTTTTAATTTACACATGTAGGTTCTCAATATTCTCGCTTGTTAAACTCTCGCTCCTGTTACCTTCATTCCTCTTGTCAATTTTAAATGTTTTCAATATCGCCTTCTGTAGTAAATAAAGATTGATGATGATGGTCTTTATGTATCAGTACATTTCACCCGACAGACCACAAGTTACTATATATACTGACATCATTTGTTGTATAGTGACATCATTTGTTATATACTGACATCATTTGTTATATACTGACATCATTTGTTATATCCTGACATCATTTGTTGTGTACTGACATCATTTGTTGTATAGTGACATCATTTGTTATATACTGACATCATTTGTTATATACTGACATCATTTGTTGTGTACTGACATCATTTGTTGTATAGTGACATCATTTGTTGTGTACTGACATCATTTGTTGTATATTGACGTCATTTGTTGTATACTGACATCATTTGTTGTATACTGACATCATTTGTTGTATAGTGATGTCATTTGTTGTATACTGACGTAATTTGTTGTATACTGACATCATTTGTTGTATAGTGACATCATTTGTTGTATAGTGACATCATTTGTTGTATACTGACATCATTTGTTGAACACTGACGTCATTTGTTGTATACTGACATCATTTGTTTTATACTGACGTCATTCGTTGTATACTGACATCATTCGTCGTATACTGACGTCATTCGTTGTATACTGACATCATTTGTTGTATACTGACATCATTTGTTGTATACTGACATCATTTGTTGTATACTGACCATATTTGTTGTATACTGACCATATTTGTTGTATACTGACATCATTTGTTGTATACTGACGTCATTTGTTGTATACTGACATCGTTTGTTGTATACTGACATCATTTGTTGTATACTGACGTCATTTGTTGTATACTGACATCATTTGTTGTATAATGACATCATTTGTTACAGTGCCTCTGTATAAGGAACGAGTATATAAGTCATGGCAGGAAATCACTTAAACAGGCTACATTTCATCTGACAGGACAGAAGTTACTATTTGGACTTACCGTATTTGCCACAGCCATTAGAGGCATATACTTCTTCACAAAGGTAGGTAGTCCCAATTATCCTGTGGAAACAGGAACTGTTATATATACAGGTTATTATTTTATAGACTTTAGAAATTTGAGATAATTTGAGATCATTTTGTTTTTTCAATAACCGCAATGGTTGCTATAATACTGTAATGGTTGCTATGATACTGTTATGGTGGTTGTGATACTGTATTAGTTTCTATGATGCCATAATGGTTGCTATGATACTGTAATATTTGACACAATACTGTGATGGTTGTTATGATGCTATAATGGTTACTTTGATGCCATAATGGTTGCTATGATACTGTAATATTTGACACAATACTGTGATGGTTGCTATGATATTGTAATGGTTGGTACATTAGTATTATTCCTGTTACAGCTACATGTATCTGAGCTGGTCTCCAACAACCTGTGGATGGCCTATTATCCTCTACTTCTCTCCTGTTTCTCCTTCATCGTCTGCTTCTGGGCAGAGGTAAGCCATTTGAATGGATGGACTAATGTTTATCACAGATTTATTAATAATCTACATTCAGTTTGATTTCTGCAGCTTTTATGGTAATATTTTGTACAAGTTTGGAAAATGGCTTGATAATTCTTCAGAGATAAGTTATAAAGAATATGCATGATTGATATTTAATGAAACAAATATTTTAATGTTGATAATGTATACTTTCAGGCATTTCATGTTGAGTTTAAACGGAACCAGCCTCGCTTTCTCAGCAAGTCCTTTATTGGATTCTTCATCTTTAACCTCTTTATATACTGCCTGTTGTTTGTGAATATAGTGTTATTAGATGTGGTTCCTAATGACGTCTATGCTGTAAGTACTTCATTTTGTTATTTACAGTTTGTGGAGAGGTGTTTGATGTTACCCATGTCCATCTAATCTTTGTTCTCAATCAATGTCATATATTGAGAAAATTTCAACAGATTCAGTTCATATTTACAACAATGCACAAGTTCAACACCTGATCAGATTCTGACTTGCACAGGAGTGGGAGCATTGGTGTCATACAGGCATTTTCTAGTATTTTGTTTGTTAGTAAATTTAGAAATAAGTTGTTTGGTATTGCATCAACTCAGGGCTCTCATACCCCATTTTGAGACTGGGGCCCGGGGCCCTTAGAATCAGGAAAAATAATGGTGTTTTCCTTAGAATTGGGAAAACTTCGGGTCTAAATTGGGAAAAAAGATACTATTTTGCATCGGGAATATTCAGCCCCAAATCTGGCCGATCGAAAGCCTTGCAACTAATTAAAAGATTACTGATCCAAAGAAGGATTTTCTTTCTCGATGCAAAAAAAAAAAAATGTTAACCAACAACATATTATATATTTCTGGTATTCAGATTATAAAGATTATTGACTGTTTCAGGATTTAGTGACCAAGGTGACGAACGGCATATTTGCTGGTACGATGATTATAGCTGTCATCTTCTTTCTTATCTATGGTGTACAGGTGTATTTCAAGGTAAGTACAACCAAACACTGGTCAATAGGAAGAGGACTCGCTTGTAATACTGACCTAACAGCTGTTATATTTAGTAAGAATAAATGTTGATTTGTGTGCAAATATACAGTTGGAATGTCTATATATTGATTCAGGAACAATTTACTGTATGTATTATTATGGATAACAATATCTTATGTGTATTGGTGTCTGTAAACAATATCCTGTGTGTATTGGTGTTTGGTAAACAACATTCTGTGTGTATTGGTGTCTGTGAATAATATCCTGTGTGTATATATGTGGATGACAATACCCTGTGTGTATTGGTGTGGGTAACAATATCCTGTGTGTATTGGTGTGGGTAACAATATCCTGTGTGTATTTGTGTGGGTAACAATACCCTGTTTTACTTTGGGTAACAATATCTGGTGTGTTTTTGTGTTGCTAACAGTTGGTAACAATATCCTGTGTGCATTGTTAACAATATCCTGTGTGTACTGGTAACAATACCCTGTGTGTAATTGTTTGGGTAACAATATCCTGTGTGTATTTGTAACAATATCCTGTGTGTATTTGTAACAATATCCTGTGTGTATTGGTAACAATATCCTGTGTGTATTTGTAACAACATCCTGCGTGTATTGGTAACAATACCCTGTGTGTTACTTTGGGTAACAATATCCTGTGTGCTACTTTGGGTAATAATATCCTGTGTTCAAAATTATAAGGTGCATGGTGCCTTCACTAAAGGAGACAGTGATGTTGACCCCTGGCAGTTGAGCATGTCCCGTCTTGGTATGGTATCCCAGGCCATGTTCCAATTCTTTCTAGCCTTATTCCTCCTGTCTGACATCACAAAGGATGCATGGAAACACAGGTAGGCAGCTTACTTTGACAATAGAAGGGACACAGTTCATAGTGGGAATAAAACGTTTTGTATTTTTTTTTATGTTTTAGGGCACGCATTGAGGTGCTTTCCTCACAATAAACTGGTGTATTTGTTGTTCAATTCTCACCAAATTTGGTTTGTGGCTCCATAACCATGAGACCTGACATTAATTTGATAACCAGTGAAATCTGCCAGTATTTGCAAGAGTTATGGGACTTTGAATGAAAAAAACTTACTATTTTATACCAAATAGTCAATATCAAGACTTTATTACTCTATGTATGCTATGTTAACACATCTCCCAGATATACATCACTCACAACTCCCATAACCAAGCACACTCTTACCATATTATTATTTACATACACTATGTAAATCATCTAATCACTGTGAATAGCGAACTGATGTCTGCTAAATCACTTCATAGTCATTTAAACAACATCCAACACAGAAATCTCCATGGATGTTCTCTAAATCCTTCCCATTGATGATGGCTGCTCCAGTCGCAATATTCCACGATACAGAAATATGGTGATCTGCTCATACATAGACAGCAGAAGTTACCAATAGGGTCATCTATGTAACCGCTTGCCCACATAGGACATCCATCACATCTGTCCACATAGGACATCTGGAGGTTACATGGTTGTCCATACAGATAATGAATCATAGAGCTGTCCACACAGGACTGCATAAATGGACGTCTTGCCCAAAAAAGGAACTATATATATCATACAGCTGTCCACACAAGACCAGATACAGCATTAGAACTGCCCACACAGGACTGCATTCAATAACTTCTTCACCCACAGAGGACTGTATAAATGGTCGTCTTGCCCAAAAAAGGAACTATATATATTTTTCTTGTCCACACAGCACTACATCTATGGTACATCTGTGGTATCACTACCCTAATGCCGCCATGGGTTAGAGCTGCAAGAACACAAATATGACTATATCTAACTATTGTGTCCTGTTATATCACATATATATACATATAGCTAAATTGCACATTTAGTATTCATTTTCCCAGCATTTTGCATATCATAACTAACCACTATTATTTTTACAACTAATGGTTAGTGCTTTCATATATTTGCTGTTAACATCATAATAAGTACTTCTAAATACAAACATACTGCACTAATTACATAGCCAAAAACTAAGCAAAACGTGAGTTATATTCTCTGGTATAAATTGTACTCATCTGTATGCATGTTATATACATGTACATCAACATGCTACAAACGCAAAACACAACAGATTTCGGGTACATAACTCAACATAGAGACTTTTGGGATGTTATAAGACTTACCACAAACTGTATTTTGCGCTGGTGTACCCCATTTTAACATAAACACGCTCAAACAACAAATCCACCACTCCGCTTGCTCACGTGTCTCTCATTCCATCCGCCCTACGAATGTTAACATTATGAACCCAGGTCCGAAAACATCAGAATTATAAGATAAGATAGATGTACAGAGTTACCAAGACATTATCTACTGTATATTTGTTTATATATAATTATAAATGGCTGGCATTGGGACATTTATAACTTTTTACACAATATCTTGCATAGTCGGATGTTCTCTAAATTTCATAAGTGGTGATAACTAGTCTGATCCATCGTTATTTACAAGAGTTCGGGGACTTTGAATGTCGTAATTATGCCAATTTATTAATTCACATACACAGCATATTTGTGGTGACATTTCACTAAATTTGTTATATTGGTTTATGTACAGAAGACATTATGTGGATGCGATAAGCATTGAATCATACATATCTACAAAAGTTATTGGACTTTCTACACCGAAATAATACATTTTTATTACTTTCTGCACACTGCATAATTTGATATGTTTTATGTACACAAGACATTGCATGGATTCAATAACCGTTGAAATCTGTTCATATCTACTAGAGTTATGGGACTATGAACGTCAAAAAATTTGTGATTTTATGCTATTCTGCACGATAACTTTCATGGTTGTACTCGGTTTTTCACCCAATCTTTTATGTTGTCTCTTATAAATGAGACCTTGTGTGGGGATCTGCTCTAACTCACCACAGTGGTTCCCATACTGATCATGTTTAGTATTGAGGCATTGATCATTCCCAAGTCATCCAAATGTATAGACATATTATAGCGATTATATTGTGGCCTGTATGGACTTGATAGGAATGCAGTAATGCATTAACACAATCTCAGCATAAGATCTTATCTGGTATGCATTGAGAAATGTTGTACTACAGTAAAACAAAGATAAGTTACAGTCGACGGGACCAAATGAAATATTTGACTTACCTGATATTCAACTTTGCCTTGTTTGTATGACTGGAGACAGTATGCAGCGAAGATTGAGTGTATTTTCATCAATTGTTGACTGGATACGTGTCTCCATGACAGTAATGAATGGGTAATAAGTAAATGGAAATATTTTGTAATTTGACACACGAAAGATTTCTTTTATTTAAATAAACAGTTATAAGTACGAATATAAAACAAAAAATGTAATGTGAAATGGATATGCACCCACTTTCATACACATAACTTAGTGACGTTGATACCTAAATTAATACAAATATTGTACTCACATTTATATCCTTAAGAGTAACAAGTCCCATCAACAATATTTTAAAATAAAACTTAATAAATAAGTACTCATGAATATTCTACATTGATATAACATTGATAGCACGGAGCTGGGTTACGAAAAGGTGAAGACTGTGGCAACATCACTAAAGCATAACTTTACACATACTATAACTATAAAACAGATTAAAATAAAACCTACATTTTGCATATGTACATGTATATCAGTAAATGTATTTCAAATCATAAACAAATGTGTCAATGACAGACTAGTATTTTCATAAGTCTGCATCGGCACAGTAATTATCGCTTGTTTTTTCCTTTGGTTTCCGACAGCCATGTGCATAAAAAGATGTATAAAACACAGTAGATTTACTATTAACAGACTACTGTGTATTCTTTACTGTGTATGGTGAAGTGAACCTCCTCTGCCCACCCTAAATTTCCCTACCCCAGACACTCATTTTTAGGTCATCTGGACCCGAAGGGTCCGATGACCTATAGTCATCATGCTTCGTCCGTCGTCGTCCGCCATGCGCCGTCCGCCGTGCGCCGTGCGCCGTCCGTAAACTTTTCATTCAAACGACTTCTTCTCAAATACTAGAAGGTCTAGGGGGCTAATACTTGGCACAGAGGATACTGGCATGGAGCTCTACCAAGTTTGTTCAAATGAATGACCTTGACCCACTTTAAAGGTCACAGGGGTCAAATATGTTAAAATCTTTAAACAACTTCTTCTCATTAACCAAAAGGCTCAGAGTGTAGATATTGGGCCTGTGACATGCTGGGATGAAGGACTACCAAGTTTGTTCAAATGAATGACCTTGAACCACTTTAAAGGTCACAGGGGTCAAATATGTTAAAATCTTTAAACAACTTCTTCTCATTAACCAAAAGGCTCAGAGTGTAGATATTGGGCCTGTGACATGCTGGGATGAAGGACTACCAAGTTTGTTCAAATGAATGACCTTGAACCACTTTAAAGGTCACAGGGGTCAAATATGTTAAAATCTTTAAACAACTTCTTCTCAATAACCAAAAGGCTCAGATTGCTGATATTGTGCCTGTGGCATGCTGGGATGAAGGGCTATCAAGTTTGTTTAAATGAATGACCTTGAACAACTTTCAAGGTCACAGGGGTCAAATATGTCAAAATCTTTAAACAACTTCTTCTCAATAACCAAAAGGCTCAGATTGCTGATATTGTGCCTGTGGCATGCTGGGATGAAGGGCTATCAAGTTTGTTTAAATGAATGACCTTGAACAACTTTCAAGGTCACAGGGGTCAAATATGTCAAAATCTTTAAATATCTTCTTCTCAAATACTAGAAGGCCTAGGGGGCTAATACTTGGCACAGAGGATACTGGCATGGAGCTCTACCAAGTTTGTTCAAATGAATGACCTTGACCCACTTTAAAGGTCACAGGGGTCAAATATGTTAAAATCTTTAAACAACTTCTTCTCATTAACCAAAAGGCTCAGAGTGTAGATATTGGGCCTGTGACATGCTGGGATGAAGGACTACCAAGTTTGTTCAAATGAATGACCTTGAACCACTTTAAAGGTCACAGGGGTCAAATATGTTAAAATCTTTAAACAACTTCTTCTCAATAACCAAAAGGCTCAGATTGCTGATATTGTGCCTGTGGCATGCTGGGATGAAGGGCTATCAAGTTTGTTTAAATGAATGACCTTGAACAACTTTCAAGGTCACAGGGGTCAAATATGTCAAAATCTTTAAACAACTTCTTCTCAATAACCAAAAGGCTCAGATTGCTGATATTGTGCCTGTGGCATGCTGGGATGAAGGGCTATCAAGTTTGTTTAAATGAATGACCTTGAACAACTTTCAAGGTCACAGGGGTCAAATATGTCAAAATCTTTAAATAACTTCTTCTCAAATACTAGAAGGCCTAGGGGGCTAATACTTGGCACATAGCATGCTGGCATGGAGCCCTACAAAGTTTGTTCAAATGAATGACCTTGGCCCACTTTCAAGGTCACAGGGGTCAAATATGTCAAAATCTTTAAACAACTTCTTCTCAATAACCAAAAGGCTCAGATTGCTGATATTGTGCCTGTGGCATGCTGGGATGAAGGGCTACCAAGTTTATTTAAATGAATGACCTTGAACAACTTTCAAGGTCGCAGGGGTCAAATATGTCAAAATCTTTAAATAACTTCTTCTCAAATACTAGAAGGCCTAGGGGGCTAATACTTGGCCCATAGCATGCTGGCATGGAGCCCTACAAAGTTTGTTCAAATGAATGACCTTGGCCTACTTTCAAGGTCACAGGGGTCAAATATGTTAAAATATACAAAGGACTTCATCTCAATAAGCAAAAGTCTATGAGTGCCGATATTGGGTCTGTAGCATGCTGGGAGGAA